CAGCCTTCAGTATGGATTACACCTCAACATAAAGAAAACAAAAATCCTCACAACTGGACCAATAAGCAACATCATGATAAACAGAGAAAAGACTGAAATTATCAAGGATTTCATTTTACTTGGATCCACAATCAACGCCCATGGAACCAGCAGTCAAAAAATCAAACGACATATTGCATTGAGCAAAACTGCTGCAAAAGCACTCTTTCAAGTGTTAAAAAGCAAAGACGTCACTTTGAGGACTAAGGTGCGAATGACTCAAGCTATGGTATTTTCAATTGCCTTACATGCGTGTGAAAACTGGACAATGAGTAAGGAAGACTGAAGAATTGATCCTTTTGAATTATGGTGCTAGCAAAGAATACTGAATATATTATGCACTGCCAGAAGAACAAACAAATCTGTCTCGGAAGAAGGACAGTCAGAATATTCCTTAGAAGTGAGGATGGCGAGAATTTGTCTCAAGTACTTTGGACATGTTATCAGGAGAGACCAATCCCTGGAAAAGGACATCATGCTAGGTAAAGGAGAGAGTGAAAAAGAGGAAGACCCTCAATGAGATGGACTGGCACAATGGCTGCAACAATGGGCTCAAACATAGCAACAACTGTGAGGCTGGCGCAGGACTGGGCAGTCTTTCGTTCTGTTGAACACAGGGTTGCTGTGTCAAAACCAGCTTGACAGCACCTAACAACAATACTGACTCAAACCCCTCTTAAAAAAGTAGGCACTGTAAATACTATAAATCAATAAATAATATAAATATAAAATAATTAGAAGCATCTGTCTCCACAAACTACAAAAAAAAGGCCCTTCATATAGAGGCAAAATTAAAAAAACAAAAAAACCTCACCTAAACACATTTTAAACACTCCCCTTTGAGGGAAGTGATATAATCTCCCTGTTCCATACTACAGAAAAGCAATGATTGTTCCAAGAATAGCTACTGAATCCATCATATTTATAGCAATCCCAAGTAGTTGCCTTTTTCATTTTGTGAACAACCTGGCTGCTGAATCCTGTGGATTCAGAAAGACACGAGGAACTATAGTCTCAAGTTACTTTAACTTGTTCAACTATTTTGAAATGGCAGGGGGACTTTAACTTTGCAAAAAGTCAACAATGGCCAAAAGTGGAAAGTACTTCTAGAATCTCATTTAATAGGAAGGAAGTTGGCAATGGTGCTACCATTAACAGCTCTGCTTCTTATGGACAAAAAGTAGGTAAAATTAGAGGAAGAGCTGGAAGAGAAGAGGCAGAGAATGTGAAAGGAATGAGGGGAGAAACAAAGAAAAATCAGAGGAAAGTAAAAGAAAGACGGTAAGGTAAAAATGAGAGAGAGACAGAAAAAGCAATAAGCAATGCAGGAGAAAAAGGGAAAAACATACTCAAAAGTATCAATTAGGATATATTAATAAATTTCTCATAACTTGAATAGTTACCCTAAGAATATCATTATAAAATCAACTCCAAATCCTAATTATGCATTTTTCTCTAAAGAATAAGTAACTCATCAATTACCATCTTCATTTTAGAGATAAGGAAACAGAGGGCCTTGAAAAGTTAGCATGCCTACAGTTAAATAAGAGGCAGAGCCTGAGCTCATCACCGCCTCGCAATTAGTCAAGATTACTGAGTATTATTCATATTCACAGAAGGATTCATTCACACATGCTCTTTTAAAGAGCCAACACTGCTAGTGCATTCAAACTTACTGGATTAATAAGAAAATGATTTTTATCTAACTTGTTTTTTTAATATAAATTAAGATACAAAGACATTATAACTTTCTTTTCCAATCTATAAAAACTTTTCATTCAAATTGAAACACTACTGTATTTTCCAAAGATATTAAAATTTTAATTCAAATCATCTTGAACTATTAAAAACTATGGTTTCCCACCACACATAAACTGGTAACACACCATGTGCTAAGAATCTGTCTTCTCATGAATGGAAATTAAAAAAAAAAGTGAAACTCACTCTAATAATCTAGCTATATACAACCCAGCAACACTAAGTACAGTAAAATGTGCTTTACGTAAGTATCAGCAGATCTGCCAAACTTGCAAACCTAATAAATGGAAATCTAAGGGACATACTAGGCTGCTGGCAATGCTTCCATAATTGTTTTTGCCAACATCTATGGTAGCTTTCTAATAAAAACAAAACAAAACAAACCAGTACTCCACAACATTCTGTCTGGACGTCGATTCACTTCAGGGGCTTCTAAACCTTCACTGATAATTTCTATAGCAACTGCAGGTGGGTGAGTTCCTGAAAGTGCTCTGTCTTGGCTAGACAGACTTCACCTGCAGCAGTCTCTTGAGAATTCAGTTGTCCATCTGAATTATCCCACATTTGGGAAGAGCATGCTGTTGTTAGCTGCCATTGAATCGCCTCCAACTCACGTTGACCTTAGGTACAACAGAACAGAATAATTGCCTAGTCCTGCATTGTCCTCACAATCACCATCATGTTTGAGTCCATCATTGTGGCTACTGTGCTAATCCATCACACTGAGGGTCTCCCATGCCCTCACTGGCTCTCTACTTCACCAAACACGATGTCTTCCTCAAGGGATTGATCCTTCCTGACATGTCCAAAGCAAGTGACTTGCATAATATCCTGTTGTGATCCATAAGATTTTCACTGGTTAATTTTTGGAAGTAAATCACCAGGCCCTTCTTCCTAGTCTCTCAGTCTGGAAATTCCACTGAAACCTGTAAACCATGGGTGACCCTGCTGGTATTTGAAATACCAGTGGCATAGCTTTCAGCATCATAGCAACATGCAGGCCACCACAGTATGACAAACTGACAGATGGGTGGTGGGGAATAATACAGTAGTCATTATGTAGTAACTATACTATGAGTCGGAATCAACTTGACGGCAACGGGTTTGGGTTTTTGGTTTTATACAGTCCTTCATTAACATGAAGGTAATACTGACTACTTCATTAATAGTATTCATTAATACTTCTGAGTTGCCTTTTATAACACTGTTCAATAATTTGTTGATTCATACTCCATTTCTTAACTGATCATCTGGCCCAATGGTTATCTAGGACAATAAACAAAATATTCTGAAGATATATTGGTAAAGGACAAATAACCCAGTTGTTACTGGCCTGCTACAGAATTAAATGAATGTTATTCTCCAGAATAAAATATATACACTAAATTGTTCTTCTCTTCCTTCCGATGCTACATATAATTTAAGGCATGTAGCCAAGAGTAGAATGGAGCCCTGGTGGTACAGTGGTTAAGCGCTCAGCTGCTAACTGAAAGGTTGGCGGTTCAAACCCCCCAGCCCTCTGAGGGAAAAAGATGTGGCAGTTTGCTTCCATAAAGATTATAGCCTTGGAGACCCTATGGGGCAGTTATACTCTGTCCTACAACGTTGCTATGAGTAGAATAGATGACAACAGGTTTGGTTTAAAAAGAGCAGAAAAAAATGCAAAGTAAATCAATACTCATAAAGGGGAAAACCAGATGAGAAACATAGCTATTAATCTAATAAAATTAAAAGTGAAACCAAGTGAAAAGTGGTTTTCTCTAAGCCAGACTTTTATGCACTTTCTTTTGGCACCTAACAGGTCCCCAATCTATGTATAAAGTTTATTCACAAATGTATGCAGTAAAACTAACAATCTTATTGCTAGTTAGAAACACCACCACCCATCTGTCAGTCTGTCATACTGTAGTGGCTCGTGTGTTGCTATGATGCTGGAAGCTATGCCACCAGTATTTCAAACACCAGCAGCATTATCCATGGTGGTCAGGTTTCAGTGGAGATTCCTGACTAAGACAGACTAGGAAGAAAGACCTGGTGATCTACTTCTGAAAAGTAGCCATTGAAAACCTTATGGATCACAACAGAATATTGCTGATATACTGCTGGAAGATGACAGCACTATATAGGTTGGAAGACACTCAAAATACACAGTGGTCATAACAATAAACCGAGCATGCCAACGATTATAAAGATGGTACAGGACTTGGCATGTTTCATTCTGTTGTACATGCAGTCACCATGATTTGGAGCCTACTTGAGGGCAACTGTTAGAAATACAAAATAAGACACTATAAAATGACCTGTTATTTTCCTTCTTGGCAGTGACAGCATCATAGGAAACTAAAAAAGTAAACCAGACAAGTTGAAAATTAGTTTGTTTCCTTTACAATAGAAAAAAAAATAGTCAGGAAAGGACTTTACTGATCATCCAGTTGTTGGCATATGTCTGTTGTCCAACAATCTAAGACAGGCACTGTGACAAAATGTGATTATCTGAGGCTTAAAATCTATTATATTTCTAATATGTATCCCAAAGGACATTATCACTGTTTCCAGGACTAGTCACAAACTCAGTTGTACTGTAAAATGGTTTTAGCTTTCGGAGTTTCCTTTTTCAATCTCCCAGCAGCTAGTAATCTCACAGAGCCCAGATCTTCTAGTCAATGAAGAACCCAATTCATACCAACAATGTCTTAACCTCCCCAGGGATCAGAATAGTTTAGAAAATGCAGCATAAAGGAATGCTTGACTCAAGGGAATGAATTGCTAATAGTTGCTTCTGAGGGGGATGGGTATTTTGGGAGGAAAAGGCTGTCAAATTATACCACCAAGGGGCTACCCCACTTTGCTTATTTGTAAGACTGGCACTAATCACCATATTATATTGTATTAACACTTTCACCACATTTATATATCTTTAGCACAACTGGAGGGCACAATCTTGGTACTGAAAACTAATACTAGTTCAAAGTACTCAGTTTATATAAACGCATGTTCTATACCCTTGACTCATATTCAAGTTTTACTGGAGAATTATTAGTTGGATTGCAACAGATTCAGCTCTTGTTTCTCAAGAATAGACATATTTTTACTTCATGTAAATTCACAGCAGTATTTTTAACATGTTATTGAAAAGGTACACTACTTTGGTTACTCTATTTCAATATTTATCAGTGATCTGTGAATTTTCTAACCCCCAATATAACACATCCAATACAGAGAATAAACTAAATACACAGCTTTAAAGGTTTTTTTTTTAAAAAAACAAAACAACAATTTTCCTTAAGGAAAATGTTGAAGGCAGAATCTATGGAATGCCATATTTTACCTTAATTTTAAGTGAAATTATAAAACAGAAATTCATTATTTCATGTAAATAAAAGATCTCGTCACGTGTTTATGGATAACAGTGCAAATTAAATACACAATTACAACAGCCTCAAAATTTTATCTCATTCATTACTCAATTCTATTATCTTCTTGTAGTTTTATGACTATTCTGGAGAACCTGAAACTTATAAATTCTATCAAAACGAAGGCCTTCCAGCACACTAAAATAATACTGAGACCGTTAGGATTTCTTATGAATAATCACTGTTTTAAACATTTTCATGTCTTCACATAAATCATTTTGAAAATTTAAATCAGAAGAAAAATATTATAATACCATAATCCATTAAATAAAAAATACAGTAAGCTAGGTCAAAGTTTTATAAGAAACGATTCAGTTAATGTACTCAAGAGCACTTTTCTTCTTCACTAGGAGAGGAAAGTGAAACAAAATTAGCATTTTACTTCATGACAGAAAGTTTACTGTACTTCTAAATGCTTGACTATCTCCAAAAATACACTTCTCAGTATAATACACACACATTTTATACTTGTGGATTAGCATAGTTACGTTTCTTTTTGAAAAGACATTACAAAACAAAGCACTGAAGGTAACTGAAATAAACAAAACCTCACAGGCAAAATTTTAGGGAATCTGAAATCATCTTGCCCCGGTCATAATTTCAAGACAGTGACAAATGTTGTTAGTCAGGGGAAAAAAATCAGTGGGAATACAAAATATGAAAAGTCTTTAAAATCCAGACAGCAAATATAAAAACGGACAGACTTTGCGAAAGCTGGAAGAGATATTTAAAGAAATGAGGTATGATGGAGTCATAGTGCTACAATATATCTCAGTGAATTACACTAATAACCTATACTTCAAACCTGCAAAACCAGCAAATCATGAACTATTTGCTGCTGTGTTTACATGACCTTTCTGGTCAGATGTTTAATGGTCACTGATAAATACATTCAAAATAAACATGAAGCTAAATGCATGATCATATGGTGAGCATATCTGCCACTTAAGAACGCAAATTATAAGTAAAAATGTAAGCAAATAATTTTGTATTAATAATAAATACAGCTTCAAGCATTTAACATTAGCAATATTTTAAAAATTTAAATAATAAATGCAATTATTTTATACATAACTGTACTATTTATTATACACACAAGTACATCAGTTCCCTTTGTTTACAAAGGCTGGTTACAGGTAATATGGAATGTTACAGTACCATCTTGCATAAAATTTTAGTACAACTTTGTACTTGAAAAAGGGTGCAAAAACACCAGCCTAATAAATCTGACTGAATTGAAATATATTTCTTTTTAAAAAGTACATCATTAACACACACACCACAAACTGCACATAAGTTCACTTTTACACCACCAACTGAAGATACGGTAGCAGGTATGTTGCAGTATTAACTACCCCTTCCACTAGTTTAACTTATTAAAGGCCTGCACTGCTACTCATTCAGGAACCTTTGTTGATGTGTAAGCTTGTCGTATGAATTACCGAACTCAGGTACGTACAATTTAAAGGAGGCCAACAAGAGCTGCCAAGATTTATTTGTAGTAAGAAATGTCTTTCTTAAGACTCACTTAGGAGCAAACATTCTTTTAGGTTATCTTTCTTCCTTCAAAGATATTGAAGCAGGTCAAGATTCTCCATTTTGAACTTTGGATGCTGGTGGTTGCATGAAATCCTTAAAGGGAACTAGTGCCTCTTTAAGTGCAGAGCAGACTTCTGAAGATGAGCAGGTGATGCATTCCACTAACGTTGGGTACAAGGCAATTACTTGTGCCCAGGTATTTCCATCAACTGTAACGCAAAAAGTATAAAGTCTCAAGAAAGGGTAGATTTAACTAACAGATATTATCCAATTAACATGAACACAGCCCTTTAAACGCAATGCAAAGAAAAAATTTCATAAAAATGGAGATTCTACAAGCTTGTACCTTTTTTTTTTTTTAACTTTGGAACATTTTCTGTAACATTTAATAAGGTATGGGAGAAAAATATATGGTCAGTGTATACAGTCACCAACACTAAGACATTCGGTAAAGTACATTTTAAGTGGTACTTCACTTTGTGAAGGAGTTCCTGGGCGGTGCAAACGGTTACTGCACTTAGCTGCTCACCAAAAGGCTGAAGGTTCTAATCCACCCAGAGACATCTTGGAAGAAAGGCCTGGTGATCTATTGCGGAAAATTCAGCCACTGAAAACCTTACAGAGCACAGTTCTACTCTGATACACACAGTTGGAACAGACTTGACAGCAACTGGTTTTCTCTTGTGAAAATGGAAAAATTCTGTTTAAAAAGGACATTAACACATACCTTTCTCATTTTCAGTATCATTTGCCAGAGAATGTAGTGTACATTTCAAGAACAATTAGAAAACAATTCATTTTTTATGCAGTTGTCTGCTAAAAATATAAGTATCTTATTTTCCCCAGTAATATCCTTGATATTGATTTTAATTTCAAATGACCACACATAGATTCATTCTTCTCTTGTACTGTTTGCTAATCTTTAAAGCACATTGCTAGATATAAACTCTAGTGGGGAGCGGCCATGTCTGCCTCCCTCACCACTAACATAGTACAGGTGAATGCTACTTGCTGAATGGACAAAAGTGTCACATCCCAATTAGTCTGTAATCTCCTTATACTCTGAGATCACACTTTACCTTTCAATTTTCCTGAAAGTGGTGAGTGCCTGATATGCAATAAAACCTGCTGATAGATTTTTCTTAGTGTAAGTATATCACACTTTTTGGGACAAATCTCAAATCTGGGAGGCACTGTAGTATAAAAGAAGAAATACTATGGGTAAGGAGCTTTAGTTCTATATTTCACTGCATGTCAACTGCCTAATTTACTGAGTGTTAACCATCCAAAAATTTTTCTGAAATAAGGCAGGGGTAGGTGTCCCTAGCCAAGTCATTTTATTTCTCTTTATCTCAACGTCTTCCACTGTAAAATAAAGGAGTGACTTTCTCAAACTAGTGTTCAATTTAGCTCTTAGAAAAAAAATTCAGTCAAGTAAGTTTGAAAAATATTGCATATATTATCTCCCCTTTTGAGGATTCATAATTCACATGAATTTATTAGAGGGTTGTAATAAAAGTCCCAGTCTGCTAGACACATGCATTTACAATTCCTGCTCCAGAAAAACGTCAGCTAATGAGGAACTTAGAAATGTAGAATATATTATTCTACCTTTCAAAGAGATTCTCTTACAGAACTGAATTAACAGGAGGTCTCTCACTTCATCAAGGGTTACTATGAGAAAAGAAGCATACGTAGAATACTGCTGCTTAAACCAAATATGGAAGACTCTGTTCATTACATTGTTTTTTTGGCAATAAATGGAGGACTGTTTTCCCCTACAGTAATTGGGCCTGAATAGTTTTTGAACTTCTGTGTCAGCAAATCCAGGGCTTTTGTGTCTCCTCTTCCTCTAGCTGCCAATTCTCAAATCTGCCTTATTCCAGCCTTGATGAGTCCTTTCCCTTCTGATTTATTACAAGATGAAAAATCTATGCTTGCTACCGAGTAGGATTCAAGTAAGAGCTTGAGGGGGCTCTCCTGCTGAACTGATTGTGGCAACACCGTCACAGTCACTAATTAGACCACCAATCAACTTGTAGGCACAGAGTTCTGTCCTACATATTCACTTCATATTTTTAAAAAATACTTTGGGCATAATTCAGAATAAAAAAGGTTTAGTGCTAATCTTTTCCTTTTTATAGACACTATAAAGATGCCAACCTCGTTTAACTTGACATGAGTAGATAATGACCTTCTCTTGGTCACACCAAAAAAAAAAAAATCATTTTTGTTTTATTTACTCCTGTTTATCTAGTGCCTAGCATCATGCCCTCAATAAATATCTGTGGGAGGGAGGGAAGGAAAAAAATCAAGGACACAGATAGGATGTACTCCAAACTCTTTTCCTCTCCCATCCTCCCACCAATAGGAGATGAAAGAGCTTTGGGTAAGAGAAGGAAATCAAGTCAAAGTCCTATTCTTCCTCTTGGCTATTTGGAGAAATAGTGTGGACTAGTAAGGTTATGAAGAACAAGCAAAGCCTGACAGGGCCCAGCAAAAGAAGTGGTCGTCTTCCTAAGTAAGGCTCTGCCCTGGGCTTTAGGGGCAAAGGGGGAAAGAAGATTCCTGAAGGTTTACTTATCTAACATAGCTCACCAATGAAAGAAATTGATAGAGATTTTGAGAAAAATCTCGGGGCAGCAATAAAGATTGCACACTTGTCGAATGTGCCTCCTGTCCAAAATATCCTTTTAGAGCCAAATGCAGTGGTAAACAACTGGACAGGCTACAGGTGAAAACAAGAAAGGTGAGGGACGAACCACCTTTAATAATGTGAGCGAATGACCATCTCCAATAATAAGTAAAAGGCTCAGAAACTGAAATTTGAATCGGAACAAATATAATCAGGGAATGGAAAAAAACTCACTTTTAAGGTATACAATTCAAACAGTATGTCCTAACTCTATATTGCTGGGGAAAAGAGCAGTAACACTTTGGCGACTAAAGACTTTGGGGAAAGACAATAGGCCAATTTTGACAGGAGAGTCAGAGACACAAACACTGCCAAGCTCTGCAAATGACAGCTTTGATCACGAATCAAAGAACAATTTTTACATGATGAAATTATGCTACACTAGTCTTTATACTTTTATTTAAAAAAATCATTTTCAGCAGCATTCCCACATATGAAGGATAGCAATATATAATAAATGCTTGCATTTAACTGGGATCTTAAAGTGACTATTTTTCACACCTATCAACTTGGAGGCTGCTCTATAATTTCATTAGAAAATTTTGAAAGTCAAGTTTTAAATTGGTGCCTAAATACATATTTTAAATTGAAACTTAAAATGGCCAGCATAACTATTTACTAAAAAATCAGAGATGGGCTGAGGTCAATGGTAGATAAGCTAGCACTATTGATTAAAATGTGAACTCCCCTTCAGGCTGTAGATGGCACAGTAACAAACCCTATGGCCTTAAAGGAAAGCAAGCCCTGATGCTCCCATTTCTACCACCATCATCAAAAGGTTTCTTCTTGAAGTGGATTATAAAAATCACCAAAAATTATTCCCCTCCTTTTACCTACATCTTTTGGTAGTAACCCCTCACCCCGACCTTACACCCTCCCCGCCCCCCTCGCACCCTCCCCCCGCCAACGACTTTGGGCTGGCCTTGTGACTTGCTTTGGCCAATGGGAATTAGCAAACATGGTATTAAAAAAAGCTTAAGAAGAACTTGCACACTGGGCTTGACTAAACATGTTACAGGGAGACCATCTTAATCCATTCAGGGGCACCTGAGCTGACCCAGACCAGAAGAACCACTCAGCTGACCTAAAAAATAAAAAATGTTTGTTGTTTTAAGCTATTTAGTTTTGGGGTGATTTGTCTGCAACAAAAACAGATATATCTTTTATTGGTTTGTGACCACTTTAGTTTTGAGTTGGAAAGGAAGACCAAATAATTATTTCACATCAAAGCCTATCTGGAAAAAAAAAAGAAAAGGATATTAATGGATTTAAGATTACTGTGATGTCAATCATTATACATGATCAAATCTGGGATCAAAATGTACGATCCCAAGTGTCTACTTCTAATATTTTCAAAGACCTGTAGAGCAGTAATTTATTTTGAAGATTAAAAGACCCCTTTCAGAATTCGATGAACCTTTCTTCCCTCTCCCCACCAAAACATGTGTTACACACTAAACTATCCTTATAATTTCATGGGGGGTGTGAGGACACCCAGAAGCTATCCATGGATCTCAGTTTGAGAAAAACTGCTCTAGAGAAGGAAACTGCATTTACACATCAAGATGTAAAATTTTAAGAACTTTAGGTCATTTGGACTTAAAAATAACTTACAGGAAATTTTACGACTGTCTCTATTACTTCAAATCTATCCTTCATACTGAATTGAGTATAATTTCGTTTCTATATTATACAGTTCTATATAAAATGCTACAAGCAATTAAATGCTTTATCTTATGTTCTGAAACATTTCTTCTAAAATAACATTTTGTAGGACCAACGAGTGACGTTGACAGTCACTATTTTTTCCGAGATAATACAGTTATCAATTTCATCTTTTATTGTCTTAGACTACCTACATTTAAAGGAAAGTAACATTGATTAGAAAAAACAAAGAGTAAAAAATATTTTACTGGTAAGATTTCTCTGCTTAGACAATACTAGTCAGAGCTGTCATTATTAAAAATTCCATACTGGAAAAAGATCCTGTCATAAAGTACTTGTAGAAATGTAACTCTGTCCAACTACTTTAGAGGGCAATTTGGCACTATTCTACCAAAAATATAAATACTGTTTTGAACCTAGTCATCCTACTTTTGGTCTGTTTGTCTTAATAATCTGAGAAGCCAGACTATATGAAGACGAGCGCAGCATCAGGATTGGAGGAAGACTCATTAACAACCTGTGATCTGCAGATGACACAGCCTTGCTTGTAGAAAGTGAAGAGGACTTGAAGCACTTACTGATGAAGATCAAAGACTACAGACTTCAGTAAAGAAAATAAAAATCCTCACAACTGGACCAATAAGCAACATCATGATAAGAAGACTGAAGTTATCAAGGATTTCATTTTACATGATCCACAATCAATGCCCACAGAAGCAGAAATCAAGAAATCAAATGATGTATTCCATGGGGCAAATCTGCTGCAAAAGACCTCTTTAAAGTGTTCAAAAGCAAAGATGTCACCTTGAGGACTACGGTGCACCTGACCCAAGCCATGGTGTTTTCAATCGCCTCATATGCATGTGAAAGCTGGACAATGAATAAGTAAAACCAAAGAAGGACGGAAGCCTTTGAATTGTGGTGCCGGCAAAGAATACTGAATATACCACGGACTGCCAAAAGAATGAACAAATCTGTCTTGGAAGAAGTACAACCAGAACGCTCCTTAGAAGCAAGGATAGCGAGACTATGTCTCACATACCTTGGACATGTTATCAAGACGGATCAGTCCCTGGAGAAGGACATCATGCTTGGTAAAGTAGAGGGTCAGCAAAAAAGACGAAGACCCTCAATGAGATGGAATGACACAGTGGCTGCAACAAGGGGCTCAAGCACAGCAACAATTGTGAAGATGGTGTAGGACTGGGCAGTGTTTCGTTCCGTTGTACACAGGGTTGCTATGAGTTGGAACCGACTTGACGGCACCTAATAATTGGGAATTCCCTTTTTTCTTGGGTACTGAAAGTAATGCCTCTTAAGTGACAGTCTGCTACATGATAAGGTGCTTATGCCAGAATGCAAACCAACACATTGTTTTCTTCAACATAGTTTGTTGTATAAAAAATGTCAGCTGAACCAAATAGTGTGTTTAGTGACAAAACTGATTTATATTCTGGGGACGTCTCTTTATGTTGTCCTGGACTGGTAATATTCTCTTCAGACCAGTGGCCAGTTCAACAAACCACACTTTGAGTAGCAACGTGGCATACGATTTGAAATAGAACACAGAAGCTTCTCACGAAGCTTACAACGTAAGGGGAGGTGAGTGATGTGTAACTGTAATACAAACGGAATGCTTTCAGACAAAGGTACATATAAAAATGCTATGAGTTCAATGAAAAGAGATATTACTTACTTCTAACAAGTTAAAAACTCTTCAGAGTGGGGGTGGTATTTGAGCTAGGTGGATATAAGCAGGAGAATGGAATAAGCAAAAAGGGAATATTTGAGAAGATTGAGAATTTTAGTTGGACAGGTGAGTTTACACGAAGCCTAGTGGTAAATAAAGGATGAATAGAATAGAGTCAGACTGTGGTACTCTTTCCATTTTGTAAGGAATGGTAAGTGACTAATTTTTTTGGTTTGTTTTGTGTGGGTGGGTAGATGAATGCTCAAAGCCGTGCTTTAGAAAAAAATAATTTCTGGAAGTAATGTAAAGAATGGATTGGACAGGAATCAGTAACAGAAAGGGGGAAAAATGAGAAAGAGCAACAAAATGACTTAAAGTTATTGATACAGTTTGTATCTATAAAGTAAATCAGTATAAATATACGATGGAAGCCTCTACCTACTCCTCCCACCCCAAATCAGTGATCTTCTATATTAATATGAATTGTCCATGCAACACCTGAATTTAAACCAATGTAGTTATTAAAAAAAAAAAATTAAACTCTTGTTTAACATAAAGAAGATAAAACATTACAAATTAGTTTTATTAAATTGACTCGATGCTTTGTCATGATGAGGACTGGAGAAAAGATATGTTCCTAAAATTCAGTTAACTTAATAACAACACAAAGGTACACCACAGACAGCACATAAATGTTATGAGTTTAGAATAACTGAGTTTCTATGCACTTACCATTCTCAGGCTGAGTTTTCTTAAGTGAATCAATGAGAGTACTGACTGCTTTTAAGACAAATATGATTTCTGTTACTTGTTGCCTAAAAAAAGAGATGGGAAATTATTTCCATCAAGATTTAAAAGTATGCCTTTTTAAAAAAAGTTTTTTTGTGTGTTTTAGGTGAAAATTTACACTGAAAATTAGGTTCTCTTTTAACAATTTTTATACAAATTGTTTCATGCCATTGGTTACAGTTTTTGCAATGTGTCAGCATTTTCATTATTTCCATTCTGTTTGTTCTGTTTCCATTGATCTAGCTTCCCTTCCCTCCTTTGCCTGCTCATCTTTGCTTTTGGGTAAATGTTGACTTTGGTCGCATATAGTTAATTGTTTAAGGGAGCACATTACTCACAGGTGATACTATTTATTTCATAAGCCCATCTATTATTTGGCTTGTGGTAGAGGAAAAAGACCCCAGACTTGTATTCAACTAAAATGGATCTTTATTAAGCCAAACCAAAACCCGCTGCCGCTGAGTCAATTCCGACTCATAGCAACCCTGTAGGACAGAGTAGAATGGCTCCTACGGTTTCCAAGGAGCACTGGTGGACTTGAACTGCCGATCTTTTGCTTAGCAGCTGTAGCTCTTAACCACGACTCCACCAGGGTTTCCTTATCAAGCCAAAGCAAAGAAGATAAATCGAATGAGGGAACAGTCAGTGTGTACTGGGCACAAGAGACTAATGGATCTGCTGAATCACATTCCTGGAGTCTCTGATATAATATTACAGAAGGAAGCAAAGTTAAGAAAAATTCTGATTGGTTATTCATTGATACACCACTGTCAAAGGTGGGATAACAAAAGCAGGATCTTTACAGTGATTGGTTTAAAGAGTTTTTGTTGACTAGTTACCACTTGGTGATATGTGCTTTGTTGATTAGTTACTGCTTAGTGACTATAGGAGGGTTTACAAAAGGAGGGTTTACAGGAGATTTGCCAGATATTCATTTATGGAAATGTAGAGGTTGCATAAAGGCTCCCTGGAAAAAAACTTAAAACATTTCTTCTTAGCTTGGTTACAAAGAAAACATTTCATTAGATGTCAGATAACTGGCATAACTGCTTATTCTTTGTAATTATTAACCAATTCTGTTTTCTGGTTCCACAGGTTTTCTATACAAAATGGATTCCTGGCCCAGACCATATCCTAGCCTCCCTTACTCCGGGCCAAGGACCTCACACAGTTTTAGAGTGTCCGTATCAGGCTGAAAGGTGACCTGCAGACATAGCTTCAATTGCCATGTGTGTTTTTGTACAAATGAGCCATGTGTAGGTTTGTACCAATAGATGTACTTTGGAAAAATACTGAACACAATACAATATAAAGTTAATGTCAGTTTTAAATTATTACAGGAAAAAAAAAGAATTTTATTTACATGTACTTCAGTGTACAAATGAGATTTGTAATTTTTCTCAACATAAGTTATGAATTTAAAAGAGGGGGCAAAGGCAATCTACTCATGCAAATATAAATTTATTTCTAAGATATTTCTTATAATACTTTAAAATATTTTATATACATGCTTTCACACTTTCTCTACTAAAAGTTTTCTGTTTGTTTTAACAAATTACACCACACCTCAACATGGTTAGGTTGCTGAGACCAGGTTGTTATGCGAAAATCAGCGCTGTGCAAAAATGGAGGATCACCACATCAGATCACAAAATGGAGGATGACTACATCATTATATAACTGTCAAATTACATCATTACATTAACTGCCAAACCACTGAGAATCATGGCCCAGCCAAGCTGACACATAATCTTAACCATCACCGCCACTGTTACTCTCACCTTGCACCTTGGCATTTGTTACTGCCAGACGTAACGTTGTTAATGTGCAAAATAATTGCATAGTATATTTTTTATTGTTGTTGGAAACATGAAATATCAGATGAGATAGTCAATAAGTGACGAGTAGGTGTAGTACTAAAAGATTTCTCAAAGCTTAAATGAGAACACACTATTACCTACTGGCACATATTTTACCATGCTATTAAAAGTATATTCGAAATTATAGTGGTATTTATTTAACTTTCTAATACAATAAACAAAGAAAAACAAAATGCTCTGAAATCGTTAATCCTAAGGTGGCACTATCTGGAGACAGCAATGAAGAATGAAGCCGGAATAAAGGATCAAGAGTAGCTCGATTCCTTCTTTCTCCTTACAGAAATAAAGCTGATCAACTCCATAGTCTCTCCTGCCCCCACCCCCTTCCTGGTATGAGTTTGTGTTATCATTCTATAGATGGGACTTTTTGAATACTATGACAGGGCACTACTTCAAACATTCCTTTATGAGTACAAAAGTATTTTATTATTGTGTTACAATGCAGCTTTTCAGAAAACAACTTAATGACACTGCATCAAAAAGCATCTGTTATGAATTGAATTATGTCCCCCAAAATGGGTGTCAACTTGGCTAGGCCATTAATTCTCAGTATTGTGTGATTGTCTACCACTTTGTCATCTGATGTGATTTTCCTATGTGTTGTAAATCCTACCTCTATGATGTTAATGAGGCAGGAGTAGGGGCAGTTATTTTAATGAGGCAAGACTCAATCTGCAAGATTAGGTTGTATCTTGAGTCAACTGCTTTTGAAATATAAAAGAGAGAAGCAGAAAGGGGGACGAGGAGCACACATCCTTTGGACCCAGGGTCCCTGCACTGAGGAGCTCCTAGACCAGGGAAGGATGACAAGGACCTTCCCCTAGAGTCGACAGAGAATGAAAGAATTCCCCTGAAGCTGGCACCCTGAATTCAGACTTCCAGCCTCCTAGACTGTCTGAGAGAATAAATCTGTTCGTTAAAGCCATCAACTTGTGGTATTTCTGTTATAGAAGCACTAGATAATTAAGACAAAATTTGGTGCTGAGAGAGTAGGCTGCTGCTCTGAAAGATACCTAAAACGTGGAAGCTGTTTTGAAACTGTGAATCAACAGAGGCTGGAAGAGTTTTAAAGTGCCTAACAGTAAAAGCCTAGATTGCCTTGAAAACACTGTTGGAATTATGGACATCAAAGACAATTCTGGTAAGGACTCAAAAGGAGATGAGAGCTGCTACACTAGAGATGAAGCAGATGGTGAGAAGCAGCAGCAGACCAGAAGACCAGCACAAGACAGCGCTGGAGCTGACCCACGGAGCAGGAGAGCTGAGAGCCTTAGCGCAGGAGGCTTCCTGGCGGAGCGGTGTACCTCGGAGCACTTATCGGTAGAGCTAAGCTTGCTGACCCACACAGCAAGAGAGCTGAGTACCTTCCAGCAAAGTTTACTGGTGGAGTAGGGTGCCTCTAGGTACTTACTGGTGGAGCTAAAGAGCTTTGGAACACTTGCCCGAGCAGGGCAGATGCAGGCAGTGAGGCCCAAGGGGCTGAGAGGCCAAGTAACCATGAAGCAGAAGCTGAAGAGACAAGGACCACAGGAAGCAGAGCTGCCTCAGTCTCAAAAGGTAGGGCCACGACCTCTGGGGCCTTAAGAGGTAGAGCCATGGCCTCTGGAGTTTGTGAGGGTAGGGCCACAGCCTCCTAGGTTTCAAAGAGTCAGATCTTCACCAACTCGGTACCAGAGTGTGGGGCTGCCTTTCACGAGTGCCAGAGGGATGGGGGCAGATTTGCTGCCCAAAGCTGAGTGGACAAGGCTGCCATGCACAAGGGGCAGAAGAACCGGGCCTGCTGGGGCTGAGAGGGTTGGATTGACACTCAGATGCACTAGGAGAATGGGGCTGTCCAAAGTCAAGGGAGCAGAGTTCCCATTCCAGTGAACCTGGAAGGCAGAGCTGAAGCCCAGGGCTAAGGGGCCTCCACCCAGAATCTGGACAGTGTGGTTAACACCCAGAGTCTGGAGGGCAAGGCCATTGCCTAAATGGTCTCAGAGAAGAGAGGATTACTTTCAAGTCTTGAGCACTAATATAATGTGTTCTGCTGACTTAGCTGGTGCCCGTTATCTCTTCTTTCCCTCCAATTTCTCCCATCTGTAATGGCGCTGTCTACCTTGTACCTGTTCCACCACTGTACTTTGGGTAACTTGTATTCTAGATCTCACATATGAGAAGGAATTTTGCAGTAGATGAGATTCTGGACTTGGAGTTAAGACTTTTGAGATGATACAATGAGGTCAAAGTGTTTTACATGTGGCAAGAATATGCATTTTTGGGGCCAAACGACAGAATGTTATGGATTGACTAGTGTCCCCCAAAAATGTGTGTTAATTTGGCTAGGCCATGATTCCCACTATTGTGTGACTGTTCACCATTTTGTCATCTGATGTGATTTTCCTGTGTGTTGTAAATCCTATGTCTATGATATTAAGGAGGCAGGATTAGGGGCAGTTATGTTAATGAGGTAGGACTCAATCTACTAGATTAGGTTGTATCTTGAGTCAATCTCTTCTGAGATATAAAACAGAGAAGCAAGCAGAGAGACAAGGGGACCTCATACCACCAAGAAAGCAGAGCTGGGAGCAGATCTTTTGGACCTGGGGTTCCTGTGCTGAGAAGCTCCTAGATCAGGGGAAGACTGATGACAAGGACCTTCCCCCAGAGCCAACAGGGAGAGGAAGCCTTCCCCTAGAGATATCACCCTGAATTTGGACTTCTAGCCTCCTAAACTGTGAGAGAATAAATTTCTCTTTGTTAAAGCCATCCACTTGTGGTTACATCAGCACTAGGCAACCAAGACAGCATGACACAATATAACCTCATGGGAGAACTACAAATAAAATTCAACTAAAGGCAGTAGTTAAATTTAAAACACAAATGAAGAAAAAGCTGCTTTCTGAAATAAAACAGTATGTTATAATGTAATAAAAACATTCAATGCAAAGCAACTTTATTAATATATTTTCCAGTGTATTTTCAGAGATCAATTTTGATTACTTACTTTTCAATCATGCCCATAAGTGAATTAATTACTACACCTGTCTTTGGAATGTTTTTGTATGTAAATTTGAATATGGGAGGGATAATTTATGTTCTAGAAATTCAAAATACAGAACATCCTAAGTTGAAATACAAATGGCTAATAAGCATTAGCGATTTAAAAAAAAAAGGCAAACTAGTATGTGACTATTTTTCATTTATCAAACCAGAAAAAGATAAAATTAATGATAAACTGGCAAATCATTAAAAAGGTCAAAAACAGAGGAAAAGGCATTCATCAACTACCAGGAGAATGTAAATTGGTATAAATGTCTGGTAGGCGATTTGGTAATATATAACACTTTTAAAATGTCTGTATCTTTGGACATGTCAATTCCAATTTATTATAAGTAAATAAGAACGTGCACAAAGATTTAGGGTTAGTGATTTACTTCTCCAAAACTACCCATGAAATAGGAACCATAATGATTTTCCTAACTCTTTGCTGACTTTGATATCTTTGTCATCTAATATTATTTTCTGTTTATTTTACTTCATTTGTATTGCCCTATATCCTATTTTCCACATGAAAAAAAAAAAAAAAAAGATTTGTAACCTAACCCTCATTTATGATTACATCTTTCTGACTTTGATTAGCCTTAGCTTAGCAGAAAGGCCTACAGCCCTTCCTATAGCACTGGCTTGGATAGGTAAGAAGGAAATCCAGTTTAGGTCGAAGGGCTTCACAGAGCAGATTAGACAAAAAGAAGATCTAAGATACGGCTAATTGACTTATACAGAAACCTTGAAATGACTGTAAAACAAACCAGGCTGTTCTTAGAGTAAGATATTTCTATTATTTTCACTATAAAGAGATAATACCACATGCTTATACAGATGCACAAGTCCTTATCTCAAAATCTTTCAGGAAAGATGTTTTGGAATTCAATTATTTTTAAATTCAAAAAAGCTAATTTAGCGCATATATATTACTTAACAACCATGAGAGGTCTGAAGAAGCAGTCTATAATAAAACAGCAAGAAGTATGAAGCAAAACTTACGAAGATTTACACCATATGGGATAAATAAAATTATAAACAGCCTCAGGTCAGTTCAGATCACTCGTGAGAATACTTGATTTTCAGAGCTTTCTTTGTTATTAATAATTGTTATATCAGTGGATTTCTTTCTTTAATAAAATAAAATACATACCTTGGAAGAGGACATTTGCCACTTAATCTTTCATCCTCTATATAGCGATGTAGTACATCTTGGGACCTCTTTAAAAGCACTGAGAGTGCCATTCGTGAGATGTAACCTTCTTGAGGTGTTGTGACTTTATTACTGAAGGAAAACTGGAGCAATGTTTCAAAACACATTTTAGAAAATTCTTCTCTCAAACGAATATCAATCTCTGCTTCTGTGAAATTAGTAATTTTTGATGGTTAATAAGAGGTTAAATCAAGTTGCCGTAACGATAACAACTCTTAGCAAACTAGGAATAAAAGGAAATTCCTCAATCTGATGAACGGCATCTATGAAAAGCCTGTAGGTAGCAGCATATATATGATGAAGTAATGAACAACCCTCCACTCTCCTCGCAAGATCAAAAACAAGGCAAGACTGTCCACCCTCATCCCTTCTATTCAACATTTTCCTCGAGGTCCTGGTGATTCAATAGGGCAAAAATAAGAAATGAAAGGCATACAGAGAATAAAAAGTAGTAAAAAATGTCTTTATGTACAGACAAACAAGTCATCTGGCCCTTCTGAATCAGCTTCAATTAAAAATTATATAGCAGAGATAGCTATGGCCCGTAAGTATTCTTTGCAGTGGTGTGCTAGAGCCCGCTCATACTGTTTTGCAGGAGCCAACTGTGGACACCTTTCCTAACTGCACATTCAGTGATATACCGCGGATAGCTTAAAATCAGCCATGGTGGGAGTGGGAGTATTTATACCACTGAAATTGGCAATAGCTACAGATCAGGCATTTCCCCCCTTAGAGAGTTGGTTAAACATTTACCAGCACACCACTGGTTCTGGGGGTGGGGGTCTCTAGTACAAAGCTTGATTAAGAATACTCAGTCGAGAAAAAAACAAGTCTCCAAAACATGTCTCAAGTTAGAGAGGAAGTTTTGCAAATGGTACCTTCAAAAGAATATTGGTTTTTAAGGTCATTCATTCATTTAATTTGAGATGTTAAGCTGGAACAAGTCTGCCTTCAGCTTTTTGATTAACTGAAGGTAGAGAATTCAGTTTGGAAAAGTCAATTCAGATCTTGAACACTTGTAAGAGGGATGAAGCTAGATGCTTCTTGTTTTCCAAAAGCATGTGGAACCCCTTATTAAAAAAAGTAAATGTTTAACAGTAGCAAAGGAATTAATGGGGAAGAGGAAACTGCCTCATCTAAAATTGGGCCTAAATAGCCTAATTTGTTTCATAATTTCTGGCTTCATTTTCTTCAGTATCCACTTAGACCCCAGAAGCTATCATATCAACCACTTTCTACTCAATTTCTTTGTTCACTCTCCTTCTATTGCATACAGTTTTCTCGGTCATTTTGGATGATTTCCTCAAATACTTGTGAGCTCTGGCTGTCAGATAATACTTAAGAGCAGGGGACTAAAATCGATCACTGAAACCTTTGTGTGTATAAATTGGTCTTGTTTAGCAAGGAATGCCTTCATATGCATATGTTTTAAAAAAAAAAACTCCAAGTTAAGGCTAAGAAGTTTGTGTTCTGAGGCAAATTCTTCGGAATGTCCGTGTATCTTCCTTGTCTTGGTACATTTAATACTATAAATGGCCAGAGACATCAAAAAATTGTTAGAAAAGTATACATGGTAAGTCAGTAATCCTTATTTAGCTTATGATATTTATACCTAATTGTAAATATTGTGCTTAATGTGTATTTTATAAGCATTTATCCACAAGTTTTTTAAATACAGTTTTAATAATAAAAAGTTGCCTAGATTAAGATAAATGGACTTTAATTTTTTTTTCTCTGACATTCTCATGTTTGTTAAATCTACAATTTACCAGGTCAGTTTTAAAAACTGTCTGGACTAGGGAAAGAACCAGTTTGTGAAGTAAACAGTATGAGAGACATCTAGTGGTCAATCTGTATACATAAATGCTCTTTAAACCCATTGCCACCGAGCTGATTTTGACTCAGCGTCCCTATAGGGCAGAGCAGAACTGCCCCACAGGGTTTCTAAGGAGCGGCTGGTGGATTTGAACTGCTAAACTTTTGGTTAGCAACCAAGCTCTGAACCACTGTGTCACCAGGGCTCCAAATGCTCTTTAATGGGGTTTGAAAGTGTTCAGCACTGCTCAGAAGCAGAAGTTAGTAATGGCTCTGGTAAAGTCTGGAGATTAAGGATATGCATGATACAAATTTACAATTTTTTAATCATCTCACAGAAAAATCACATTATGATTCTACAATAATATTTAAGACTTGAGCACAATTTAGAAAAAAAGAAATAATAGCAAAAAGCAACTTATATTATCAACTCCCAATAAGGCAGCATGATATAATGAAAAGAAGCATGCAGTTCTTTCTGAGTATGAATTTTGGCCTCCAGCCTTAAAACTCTGGGCAATTTTTTCAACCTTTGTAAACCATTTCCTCTTCTGTTATATGGTTACCTATCCTCATAGAGATGTAAGGAATGAGACAACACACTTGTAGCACAGTATCTTATACATAGTAGGCGTTCACTAAATGTTAGTTCTCTTAAAAAATGTTAAGGCATCTTATTTTTAATGGGCTAACTGCAATTTATAGTACTGAGATGTAGATATTTTATCTTCATTTTACAGATGACAAAATTGAGACTCAGAAGTTACCAACTACTGACTAAGTGGCAGAACACACACTCATTTTTCTCTATACGATATTGCCCTCTGAATAATCCATGACTTCACATACCAATAACTTATGTCAGCTTGCAATGACTTACGCTGATACCCTAAGTACTTTGCGATTTAATTCACCAGGGTTTGCAAATATACCTCTATCCACAGATTATTCACTATACTTTTCCCTCATAAAGCTTAATGTTCTATATCTCATTCCTAAAGATTACTTTATTATTTTCCAGTTAACATTTACCACAATCATAGAATTAAAGATTTCTACAGTCAGCTTCAATACATGCTAACATTAAAAAAAAAGCACTTCAACATACTAACATTAAAAAAAAATCATTAAAATAACATACCTGTAAATGAAGATGACTGAGAATGTATGGAGCCCTTATTAAGCATAGTCATTATCTGACCAACAAATTCCTTGGGAATAAAATTGGCGTAAGGTAGTATCTCAGTACTGATAAGCTGAACTACCTAAAACGAAAGAAGCAAGTCCAAATGCATTTTTTTCCTTAAGAGAGATTAGTATGTCAAATATTATGATCAAATTATAATTTCTAAAGTAAAATTTAGATTTTACTTTAAAAGAAAATCAAAATCCTCCTTGAAAGAAGAACATGAACATTTTAATGTTGATATACATAATGACTACCAGTCTGTCTCCCTCATCTGTCTTAGCAACTTTATTACAAAACAGTCAATACTATTAAATGTTTACTATGCAACCATTGACAAATACTGACCTTCAACATGATAAACGTAAACAATGCTCTAGAGAAAAATAGCATATGAAACTACCTACATTATACTAAAATATCCAAGATAGCATTAAGAATAAGATATAACAATAAATAATTTATAACCACAAAGTATGCACTATAAGAGACAGTAAAGTTACATTTATTTCTGCCAAATACCTTACCTCTAACATATTTTGCCCTCTGAAGAAAACGTTCACAAGAGTTTTAATATGTTGGTGGCACAAAATTCAGTATTTTGTATCTGTATGATGATCTCTATGCTTTTTAAATATATACTTTAAAGTAATTTATTTGATCTGATTTACTTAACAGTTTCCCTATCTCATTACAAGGGAAAAAACCCAAGCGGAAAAAAAAACACCCCACCACCACCACCAAAAAATTCAGAGTCAAAAAACTACTTCTTCACATTTCATTTGTAATCCTCAAAACATGTTCTTTAAAAAAACACTACTTGCTTCAAGAATTCTTGAGGCTGTATCTATAGTTGGTTACAAACGAAAAAAAACAAAAAACCAAGCAACTTACTGAATAGTTTGTACAACAAACACTTGGTGTGCCAAACTGCTGTGTAAGCTTTTCAATACCTGCTTGTTGACTGATGGATTTATTTTACTGAATCAAGTGCTTTTGTAAAGTTATTAAATGGATACAATCAACAAACTAATTAGACAACATGCACATAGCACAAGTCCATAACAAATCTAAGAAAGTCATTTTTAAAATGTCAGTGCTTTAAAAATCAACCTGTAATCTTTGTCTTAATGCTTTTAGGTTCAGTCTTAACCTGTTACTTTATTCTTCCAGTAACTTTACAGTTTCAACATTTCTAATACTTAATTTTCACAAATGGCCACAGGAAAATGTTCTAAACAGCTTCCTCACCTCAACATCAATACTTTCATTTCTTTGGAACTCTTGAATAGAGAGATTATCTGGAGGTACGCTAAAAAAAATAAACAAACACTTGATTTTTAAAGGTAAACATTCCCTAGAAATACAAACAGAAAGTAGATAAACAGTATACAAATGACAAAAATTTCTATTTCCCCACCCAGTTTGGGACACTACCATTTTTTAAAATGAACAATACTTTTAATTAGTATAAATGACTAAGCTAATTACAAACATGAAATTCTAACTACAAAAACACTTGCTCTAATCCTGAACTAAGTATTAGCTATAGAACTAAACTTCTTCCAGTGCTATGAATGAAAAAAATGATGAAAGGTAAAGATATTATCCATCATTGGCAGTTACAGCCCAAGTTACCACTGTGATGATATGAGTTCACTTATCTTGTCAGCCTAGGTCAAGCTGCTGAATTATTCACTTAGAGACAGCCCATTAATCATTAATCTGTCGTAAGTACAACGTATTAAAGATCTTTACAATAAAAGACAGATAATATCTGAAAAGTTGTTCAAAACATCTGAAAACCTGCTTCAGGTTTTCTAAAGCAAAAATCATTCTCAGTCAACTGTTTTGAGAGAGAACCAAGGTGAATTCCAGACTCTATGGCTCTTAATAAGAATGAGCAGTAAAATGCTATTATAACAGTGGGATATTAACTACTTAAAAACAGCTGAGAATAAGATAGTAATGAAAATAATAGCAGCTAAAATCAGCGTCAGCTACTGTACTAAGTGCTTTATTTGTATTATCTCAGATGTTCCTACAGCAACCCCGTGTGGTATTATTATCATGTAACTGACAGAAGAGGAAGCTGAGCTTATAACAGCTAATACTACACCCAAGAACAAAATGAAAGCAAACCGCAAGGCCACAATTTTAACCCAAACTAGTCTGATATTTGAGCCTAAATTCTTCCCTATTATGTTCTAAATGTAAAAACAGACACATTTACATTTAGAGATATAATATACATTTTTGTATCAGTGCTATTTTTGCTCTGTTGGTATTTGTTTTATCCTCTTACTATCGGTATTGAGATACACATACACACAGACATACAATATTACAGGCACTAGAACTTGGTTTGGATGTTTTTCATTCAACAAATATCTCCTAAGTACCAACTACTATGTATCAGGAACTATATTTTTGGTGTTCAAAAACCATTTGTGAACCAGATTGACCTAGTCCGTCTCATGAAACTTACACACTAGCATGCAAGTCCTAGGTTAACTCTATAATTTGGCAGTAGGATCTAAAGGAAAATTTAAAGACATGTACTCAAACCTAGGAAACCCTGGTGGCATAGTGGTTAAGAGCTCTGGCTGCTAACCAAAAAGGTCGCCAGTCTGAATCTACCAGGTGCTCCTTAGAAACTCTATGGGGCAGTTCTACTCTGTCCTATAGTGTCGATATGAGTCGGAATCCGCCTGATGGCAATGGGTTTGGTTTCAGGTTTTATTCAAACCTGAATGAAATTTCACAAACAGTACCATAAAAGTAGCTTCAAAGATCTTATCTGCATCTTTAAAATAAAAGTTGTGTTTAATTCTAATTTACAAGCAAGAAATATGTTTAGTGATACTAAAAGATTTGTGATGGTGGTGGTAATTAAGGATGGGCTGATAACTTATTAGGAACTTACACTAATAATATTAATGTTATTGGGAGTATATACCAGAAACATTCACTGGATTGCTAAAACATCTTGTAATGAGGGAAGAAAGTAATGTACAAAATTGAAACTGGAGCTCTACTGGCACAATGGTTAAATGCTCAGCTGCTAACTGAAAGGTTAGCGGTACGAACTCACTCAGCAGCTCCACAAGAGAAAGACCTGGTGATTTGCTTCCGTAATGACTTCAGCCAAAAAAAAATCCTATGGGGCAAGTTCTATTCTGTCACATGGGATCGCTATGAGCTGGAATCAACTCGACAGTAACTAACAACAACAAGGCTAGGAATGGCCAGGATCCAAAAAGCCAAAACTACAAATGGAAAGGTTCATTCCTCCTACTCCCAAAGATCCATAAAGATCAGGAAACTATTTGATTGTGCACAGGTTGAATATTCTGATCCCAGAACACAAGCTAATCATTATTTATTTTAATTTATAGTTAGTATCCTTTCTAGATACTTTGAGTGTATCAAAAAACAGTTTAAGGTTTAAAAAATGCTGATGATTAAGAGTTTACTTATAAATTGCAAAGGGAGCTGGTTGATACTGTAGGTATAAACGGGCTGTATAAGAGTCTTAATTCTCTAAGGTTTAAGGAACACAGCACACTTAGTGACTTAAAAAAAATTCTTTGCATCAATCTTTATTTGAAATAAAAATAGATCCTTCAAATTGAAAAAAAGCCCTGGTGGTGTAGTGGTTAAGAGCTTGGTTGCTAACCAAAACTTCAGTAGTTCAAATCCACCAGCCACTCCTTAGAAACTCTGTGAGGCAGTTCTACTTTATCCTGTAGGGTCGCTATGAGTCGGAATCAACTGGATGGCAACAGGTTTGGTTTTTAAATTGATAAAGTATTTGTATTTTTTTGTCAGTTCTCTCTGTATATGTTCATAAAAAATTTTATTGGGGTACAATTATATAAAATGTATTGGAATATAACATACCATAAAATTCATCCTCGGATATGATACAATAAAAATTCCATTTCTTTTTTTTTTTAACCAAACTTAAATATCTTAAAGGGCTGATCATTATCACCATTGATCTTATTTATTCTGGTAATATACTGATTTTTCTGAAACTGTTTTCCTCTTGTAATGTCAAGCGGGTATCAGATTAAAAAATGGGTCTTCCTAGCTTCATTACATTAAAATTATGGTCCCTTAATTAAGATGCATTCATATGGTCTTGTGCGTAAGATTCCTGGCTCACAACCAAAAGTACTCTAAAGAGCAAAAATCTCCCTTGCTCATAGATAATGTACCCAGTGGCTAAATGCCCAATCCACTTCTGTTTTATATACAATCTAACAATCTTAATAATCAATTACTTTGTTAATAAAGATAAATAGTTTTTAGAGCAACTGCAGATGTGATATGACACTTCTTGAAAGACTGCCCTAATTTTAAAAATGAATAAGCTGACCTTTTAGTAAAGAGAAAGTCTTCAAAAGTGTTGGCTAGTTCTGGCCACATACTGTCAAATTTTCCAGAAGAAGCATGCTGCCGGGCAACAGGTAGCCCAATAGAAAGAACTTTGAGGAGAGAAGATACTGCTAGTTTCCATGTGCTTTCAGAAGGACAGGAATACTTCAAACTGAGAGGAACCCTAAGAGTCTGTGAAAATAAAGATAGTTTAAGATAAGTATGCAGTTTAAACACACACACAAAATTTTAATTGCTTAAAAAAAAAAAAAAACTATAGCAGAAAGAAAAAAAATTATAGCAAAGGCATTTTAGTTTTAAAAAGTATGTTATTTTCCAGAAAGACCAATTTTCGAACATGGTCCTCAAATCCTACTGCCTGGAAATATATACTTTTAAATCCTGTTTCCAACTTATAAACAATGACCTTAATTTTTATCATCATAAAAAAGAGGGATATTGCCTAAAAAGTTAACAGCAGCTTTCCTGAACTTGATGTGATGGAATTAGAACACCCTGCAAGAACTCTTGTGGCAGAAAATAATTTAGCTGATGTGGTTCTCCCATTTGGCAAAGATCAACACTGCTTCTATTTTCCCACTAAAGTTTTGCTGTTGTTGTTGTTTTGTTGTGTGCTGTCGAGTTGATTCCAATGCATAGCTACTCTACGGGACAGAGTAGAACTGTTCCACAGGGTTTTCTATATTGAAATCTTTATGGGGGCAGATTGTTAGGAGCGGATGGTGGGTTCAAACCTCTGACATTTTGGTTAGCAGCCAAGTGCTTAACCTTTGGAGCTCCAGGGCTCCTTAACTAATGTTTAGGGGAGAGTAAACACAGTTTAAAGTAGCATTACTTTGAAGTCTTATGTTTTTCTCTACAGCTCTTGAATTTTTTATTCTACTCTGTGATATTTTAATGTACTATTTTTCCTTTTTCAAATACTTCAGTAAAATTGATAATTCAAGAAGATGGTTTATATTTAACCACTGAGGGTATAGGAGCAGACCATCTGAGCTATGTATAGTGACTAAGACTTTTAACTGATCAACTTTTGAGACAGGTTGCTGTTAATCATTAAAAGAACTAATTTGGCGATTTGGAATGGACTTCTCTGGTCATTCTAGTTCTATCTGGCAACCAGAAGACTAGACTGACTAAATTATCACAGTGAGTTACCTCAGGGCACCATCAATAAATAGTTTTGGCATACTGTCAGACAATTCTTATTATGGTGAAAATTCTTCTTTCATATAAAAATTCTAGTCTGAGAAAGACAAAGAGTAGAAGAGATAAATTTCTATATTTCACAGTTATGGAATGAATATAAAATCTAATCTAATCTCATCATCTTCTATACATATTACTGAGTACTCTATTGGTGAATGTATGAACCATTACATATTAGTAACATGATATAGGCTTCCATTAACAGATAATCTACCCAGGAGCTATTTATCCCTTTCCCCTCTCTCCACTTTCACACAACCCATGTGCTTTGGGAGAAAGCTGACCCTACTTGAGTTTTGGAATTCGGGTAAAGGAGAGAATTAGTTTATTAAGCCAATCAATCTGCTCTATTTCTCTGGCAATAACCACTGGTTCAAGAATGGGCAAAGGACCAACGCTGGTCCACTTAAGGTCAATTTTAGAAAGTTAAGAATAATATGATAGAATCACACCCTCTTGCTCCTACTGGATACATAGGATACATACATGTTACTGGCCTACAACTATGAGGGGAAACATAGTTAGGATGCAGTCAACTCTTGGAAAGCAGAACAGAGAGAAAGAAATTTGGTTTTTGGTGATCCTGCTGAACCAATGAATCAATCAATCCTAAAGCCTTCCTCTCTAGTTTTGAACTTTCTAGTTAATACACCAATAAATGCCCTCTACTCTTAAAGCTAGTTTCAACCCGATTGTATATTGTTTACAGTCAAAAGAATACTCAATGATACAAGGGCTACTTTGAGTTAACATTTTAGATGAAAGAAAAGTATGGTTTTACTACTGCAATTGATATTGTACTGAAATCAAAGGAACATTAACCACAGCAGATCCATTCAACTTATTTCTTAAAACATTTAAGTAATCATACAGGGACTGGCATATAGTAGGTAATCAGTAAATTTATGCTCAACTGGAAAATTCAGTTCCTGCCTTCACAAATCTCACATTTCTTGAGACAGGAAGAGAGTCTTCTCCAGTTAATCATGACACAATATAATAAGTAGCATCAACAAAGAGTTTTGAAAGTCCAGAAAAAGAACTGCTTAATTCCTTTAAAAATACAAACTGATTCTTTTCACTCCTCAGTGTTAAACCCTTCAAATGGCTAAAGAATAAAGTCTGACACCTTATGATGGCTTGTAAGACCCACATCTACCTTTTCAGACTTACTCCAGGGCTTATTACCTCCCTACACTAATTTTCTCACTATTTCTTGAAAATATACCATGATCTTTCACACTGTTTAATTTACCTACAATGCTCCTCTCCTCCTTTTTAACTAGCAAACTCTTACTCCTCCTTCAAGGACATTATCAAGTGTCACCTCTGTTAATTTCACCAAAATCTCATAGTTATTTCTTTGTGGGGAGAACTAACATATTTAGCACTGACTACTTGGAAAGCACTACTAAATGCTGTATCTCATTTGATTCATTTAATAGTTAAGAAATGTTAGTGGTATTAATATTATCCTTATTTTACACATGAGACTACTCTCAGGCCCAGTTGCCCAAAATCATAGAGCAGCATTGACAGCAGTGCACTGTTCTAAGCTAAGTCTGTCTGGTTGCAAAGCTGCATCCATTCTGTGGTCTTCACCTAGCACTTAACACACTGTATTGCTATTACTTGTTTGCCTTTCTATGTTCCCTGAATTGATTTATTAAACGTCTAAGAATTCTCTTCATCATTTTTTAATCTCTGCCATTTAGTCAGTACCTGGTAATACCCAGAACTACCAAACCTATTGTCATCGAATTGATTCCGATTCATAGTGACCCTATAGGACAGAGTAGAACTGTCCCATAGGGTTTCCAAGGAGTGGCTGGTGGATTCGTACTGCTGAACTTTTGGTTAGAAGCCGAGCTCTAAATCACTGCACCACCAGGCCTCCACCTGGTAATAGAGGTGATTAAAAAAAAGTATGCTCAATAAATGAGGAGAGAGAGGACAGCTTGTTGGATGGAGGTGGCAAGGAATAGAAAGAAGTATCATGGAAGTTAAGGGAAGAAAGAATTTTAAGAAGTTAAGGGCAATACCAATATACAGGGAAGATAAAGAATCAGAAAAGGACTTAGGATTTGGAGATTTGGTCTTCTATAACTTTGAGAAAGCAGTTTCTATTGGGCAATATTGGAAATAGCCAGTATACAACATGTTAAGGGTGAATGGCGGCTAGGTGAAGTTGTTTAAAGGGGTTTGGAAGTAAAGGAAAGCTGAAAAAAGATGGCGATTTGAGTAGATGGTAGAGTTGAAAGTTCTTGTAGTATAAAAGACTTAATTATCTTTGCAGGCTAAAGAGTAAGATGCTGAAAGGAAAATGAAAGAATCACCAATAAAGAAAAGTGGAAAGGGGAAAAGATGGACACAAAGAGAGGGATTAGCCTTGTGGCAAGACAGTTCATATTGACCTATATTTCTTTAGGAAAGTAAAAGGTACATCTGTGTACAAGAGCAAGGTTTAGGTTTGTCCTTCAAAATAAAGGGAAAAAAGAACATGAAATAAGCCTGGGGAGAATGGGACATAGTCAAAAAGAGATTTTTTTTGGGGCTTAAAAAAGACAGTATACACGATAGTTAAACTGATGGATTATATTGTGAATTTCTTCCTGAGTGCTCATCAACCTCAAAGTTTAAGAAGTGCTGTTCTAAGAAACAAGCTCATCATTGTCTTATGAAGCAAAATTCAAGAATTATAACAAATATAATGCATACTTATTTTAAAATATTTTTCATTAAAAAAACTTCTCATACTTTAGAAAATGGTTTCATGAATACAATTCATGAATGCTGCAGAAAAGTCACTACAAATAATATGAATTATATTTTCCATTTATTCAAATACAATGATAACAGATTACCTACAAAGTAATTTCAATAATCCTGACATCATCAAATGAAAGTGTAGGTAAAGAAAAAGATACCTTAATAATACTCTGGAGTACTTTTTCATTCACCACTGCTTTGTGACAGGCTGTTTTTTGGTATAAATCCACAACTACTTCTAAAGATCTTTCAGCAAATGGTACATAATTCAAGGCTACCCACTCCGCCTAGAAAGTAATATTTTCACATGGAGTTAAAAAAGGGGGAGAGGGGAGAGAATTAATCATGAAATCATACCATTTTCAAAGAGAAAAGTTCTTTGTCTTAAAGTTCAGGCTTAGTTTTAGGTCAGATTGTACTACATGCAAAGTTTTCAAAGAGCTATGTATTTCATGAAAGTAATTTTCAGCCAGGCAAATATTAAAACTATTCAAATAATTACATAGAGCATTCTATCAAGAACTGGGAAAAATGTATTTTATTTGTTGCCAATAGGTTAGGACAATTTTAGGAAATTTAACTCACCGGTGCAAATAGTTGGATCTATTGTGATTCCATTGTGTTGCAAGACAAATAGAATGAGAGAAGTTAATACATATTAAAACTACTTAAAAGGACCATGTAAAATTAAAATTTTTATGTTGAGGGAACAAAATCAGCATGTGCATGCATTTAGAAATTTACTTTTTCCCTAAGTGAAACCAAAGTTAAAATTTGCCAAGTATGGCTATTAAAATCGTTTATGTAAAATCCAACTAAATATCACACCAGTAGTAGAGAACTTCTTATTCAGTATATAATGATTTCTTCGCCATGCATTACAAGCATCTACTTTAGATAAGATTAGGCTTGGAGATTTAGAAGGCATTTTGTGGTGGCATGGGGCAACCAACAAACAGATACAAAGGAACTTGTATTTTTCAAGAAAGATTTGCTGTAGAGTAACATAAAAGGTCAAATTTTCTGGAGAACCACTTGAAAAAAGGAAAGTCATAAGCAGGGAGAAAAGGAACACAAAAATGGTTTTCCCAAATAATATTTCTGTTCAGTTTAAACTGTTAACAGACATATGAAAGTTTATTTGTGAATGAAAAATTTCATTTTCCAAGATAATCAAAGTCTATCTTAAGTGGAACTGACTGTATTTATAAGCCATGAGTAAATATAATTCATAGTAAATTACCTGATTATATTTTGCATTTGCAATGTGCTTTGTCTCCAGTTGTCCATACTGTGGAGGTTTACAGGAAAATTCTACAAATGCCAGTAACTGATCAAATATAGCTGGATACATTATCTGCATGTTTTCTGGTCCTACACAGATGGCCTGTAAAAGCAAAACGTGAACATTAGAATACATAATCTGAACTCCATTAAGTTCTTTCGTGTATATTTCCTTGACTAAAGAATCTTAAAAACCATCCTATTTTACCACCACAGACATTGAAACAATTATCAGATAAAATGTGGGCTGAAATGTATTATCAGCTACAAAATTTTTTTTAATAGAAAAACGTGATCTATTACTTAACAGAGTGGAAAATGCAGGCACTTGAAGAGAAGTCCCAGGCAGTCCTGAGGTTCTACAATCTGACTGTTCACTAATACAGCCATGAGACCATTAAAAATGTTTCACTGACAAAGATGATATTGGCTTCTATTTAAGTGATATTAATTCTTTGAAATGAAATGGATTTCTGCACCATGATTTGTCAACTGACCTTAACAAACGATCATGTATATTATAGGTTATAAGAGTAAGTCACATAAGAAAAATTATTTCTAAAAGAAATATCTATTAACTTTTTAACAGGGCAGTACATATTTAATGTTCAATGTATATGACTACATAGACTTAAGACAAGAAAATCAAAATACTTTTAATATAAATAACATTTTAATTAATAACTTAGTTTCTCAAAATTTATTGGTTTCAATAATTTGACAGAAACAGAGTAAAATCCATATTCTGACATTACATGACATGTCATTGTTACTTCAAAAACGTTGAAATAACTGCATAGTTACTTCAAACATGTTGAAAGCACTTAAATTTCATCTGCTTTTATTCTTAAGGATATTATTTATGGAGTGTCTAAAACACAGTTGTGCTTTACAAAATATAAAAAATGATCACTCTTTGCTGAGAAATCGTATGGGTTCTCTCAAAATACTAAACAAAAATTCAAAACATTTGAAAATTTTAAGTAATTTATTTTAAAACGTGTACAATATTTATGCTTTTATGCTATCCATGGCTTTTGAACTTATCAGATAATAGATAAATTTTATTTTTTCTCAAAGAAGACATAGCCATTTAGCCATAACTGAAGTTTTAGATAAAACTGCCTTGACATATGAAGAGCTAACTTTTAGGTATGAGCAGCACTAAGTGAAGTGCTTATATAACAACAATATAAAAAGGCAGAATGAAGCCCTCTTAACACCATCTCAAAATATTTGGTTATTTTTTTTTAGAAACAGTGAGTGGAGAATCTTGAATGGTAAAGTTTATACAGCCTAAAAAATTCTTGTAAGGACTGCTCCTAATAGTTTCTTTTTTTTTTTTTTTTTTTAAATTAACCAATTGCTGGGTTTTAACTCAGAAGTAAAAAAATAATAATTACATGGAAAAGATAACGGATTACCCTAAGTGGATTCTTTTATTTTCAAAGATTAAAAAAAAGAAAAAGCTTGTGGATCCCTCAGAAAATGAAGTATCAAATTCTCTGAAAATATTTTAATACTGATTAACAACTTTGATTATACATTTTGACTTTTAAAGGTCCTTTCTTTAAAAAAAAAAAGATTAATAGTGTTATTAGCAGTCGATTTATAAAGCAATTCTGTGATCTTAAAATGCATATGATGAAGATAATAAGAGCTAACATTTACTAAATGTTTATTTTGTGCCTGGCACTAAGTACCTTACAAATATCATCCCTATTAATAGGCAAAAAGTTGTAGATTTATTATTTTCATTTTACAGATGAGGGATCTGAAGTAGAGAGATATTTAAAACCTTCAAATGTTTTGGTGTGTGTATTTTCACCACAATTAAAAACAAACAAACAAAAAACTTGCCCATATTAAGAAGACAGGGCTTCACTACACAACTCCAAGGGCACCATTCACACAGTGTGATGGCATCTCCCGGAGTATAACTCCAGCAGTCTTGGCGATGGAGGCAGATAGGGTATCTGGCCATCTGACTTCAGAAGTTTAGCAATAAATAAGACAAAATGCAGTCTCCTGGCCACAGAACTTAGAGTACAGCATATACTGAAAGCTAATAACCAAATTCCCAAGTGCCGTGCCCATGTATGCCAAAATACCTTGGCAAAAAAGAAAACATCAATTAACACACATTAAGTCAATCTGTTTGGGATCTAGTGATGTGAGAACCAAGAGAATACTGTGATTGTGACAGTATTGTGACTGTGAAGTCCTACACCATGTAAGGGTACCAAGAAAAAATAAGATACAAGCCCCTCTTTAGACAGAAAACATGATTTCAGAAATCAGTTTTTCTTTTAGGAAGGAAAATAGATTTTAATCAATAAAATGTCTTGCCTGATAGCTTATTAGTTTAAGGATAAAGTCACTAAGCAAATAAATTTGCTTGTGTAAAAGTTTTCTGACACTCGTGGAGGAAAGTATAAACACACTCTTATTTTTAATAAAATATATTAATTTTTCTGTTAGGAAATACATATTAAATAGCCTGCATATTTGAATCACATTCAAGGTTTATGAAACATTATTTAGATAAATCACGTTAAGTAATCAAACAACGGTTAGAATGAAAATTAATAATAATGCAAAAATGATACCAATGGATATAAATTAACACCAAAAGCTTCTTAAGTCTGCAGCAGGAGAAAGGTGGGGCGCAGAACTCAAATTCTAGTCAAAAGACCAGACTTAATGGTCTGAGATTGGAGGGACCCCGGAAGACAAAGCCCCCTCACTCTCTGTTGGCCCAGAACTGAAACCATTCCTGAAACCAACTCTTCAGACAAAGATTAGACTGGACTATGGGACATAAAATGATACTTGTTAAGAGACTGCTTCTTAGCTCAAGTAGATACATGAGACTAAATGGGAAGCTTCTGTCCAGAGGCGAGATGAGACAGCACAAAGGGAAAGGAGCTGGCTGAATGGACACGGGAAATCCGGGGTGGAAAGGAGAAGTTTGCTGTCACATTATAGGGAGAGCAACTACAGTTACATAACAATGTGTGTATAAATTTCTGTATGAGAAACTAACTTGAACTGTAAACTTTCACTTAAGCACAATAAAAAAAAAAGATTAAAAAAAAAGCTTCTTAAGTTTCAGACTGAATGAACGTATATATTGTTTTCAAAGCTATAAAAAGCCTAGAACAAATTCCTGATAGTTGGAATGAACGATTCAACTTGTTATCTTATCGCTAAGGCAGAGTTTTTTTTAAAAAATGAGACCCCATGACTTTCCCTGCAAAATTTTTTCTTGGGGGTGGGTGGGTGGGGAGGTTATTGCTTTTTCTTTGTTTATTATTCTCTATAAGTATGTAAAAGCCTAAATCAAGTATCTGAGAGTTCTAGATTATGCACATCCTACAAGTCCCATGATTTTCTTTCTGACAGAAAAATTCACTTTTTTTTTCCCTCTAGAGCATTAACAGCAACTTAGCTGCATGGACAATTCAGAGGAAAAAAGTAATTGCTGACAGGCTATGTTTCCCCTCCTCCCTCACTAAAGAGAAAAACAGCTATTATTATTTCACTTGTGAATACTGTTATCTTTACAACTCAAGTTACCTACCATACTGAAAATAAGAACACTAATGAAAAAACTAAGCCCATTCTTTGGTTTCTAAAATGCAACTATTCTACAGGTGGAGAAATGGAGGTAGGATACATAGCCAGTTAGTAACAGCTGACACTGGAAACAGTTCATTACCAGCAACGTAACACTTATGGAGCTGCTAAGCGCTACTGTTGCTAACCAAAAGGTCAGCAGTTTGAATCCACCACCCGCTCCTTAGAAACCCTGTGGGGCAGCTCTACTCTGTCATATAGGGTTGCTATGACTCGGAATCAATTCAGTGCAACAGGTTTTGGTTTGTGGTGTGCCAGGCATTGCTTTAGGTACTGCAGATACAGAAAGAAAGAAAAAAAAAAGTGGTGGTGGGGCGGGGGATGTCTGGTTCTTGCATTATGAGGTTCTACGATCTTCCTTCTCCTATAAAAATAGGTAAATAGTATGTGCTCAATAAATATCTGATGAAAGAGAGAAAGGAGAGAAGGTAAGGGGAAAGGAGAAAAGAAGGCAAAAGAAAGGAAGGGAAGGAATGAGGGGAAAGGAAGAAAGGGAGGGAGAGAGGAAGGGAGAGACAGCGGGAAGAAGAAAAGGAAGGAGAATGGTGGGAAGAAGAAGAAAGGAGAAAATAAAGACAAAGGAAAGAAAGAAAAGGGAAAGGCAGGCAGAAAGGAAGGAAAGAAGTTAGCTTTTGATTGGTTATGCAATGGGGGTTATTTGGAAAAATCCATGCACCTGGAAGCAGCATTAATGCCACCACTTAATTTCCCAGGAATGCCTGGCACTGTGATTATTCTAAGCTGTGCAGTCTGGGGGTGCTGATTATCCACTTATATGTGCTTTACACACAACAATCAGGACAATCCAGAATTTATCCCAAAATATATATATAAAGTAAAGAAATTCCAGAGAACTATATGTGTTATTGCTTAGATAGCAACTAAAATTATATTACCCTTAGAGAACATCCTCCCATGGGCAAATTCATCTGAAAATCCCTTTCAGTACTAGTACTTGGGAATGAGTGATTTGAAGATGACTGTTTTTCTCAAGGCTTTTTCTCTCCTAATATTTCCAATTTATAAAAGTCAAAGCTGTTAAAATTAGATCTAAGGACCTTTTTTCAAAATTAGGCTGGTAGCTGGCAGCTGCTCTCTGCTCTACGAGACATCACATCAATCCAGAAAATTTTCATTTATTTATATATTGTTCATGCATCTAACACTTAATGAATGTCTACAATGAATGTCTACTATATGTCTTAAGAATGTACAGGGGGAGAAAAAAAGTCTTTGTCCTCGAAGAGTTCACAGCAAAAGTAATCAGACAAATAAAACAAAATAACAATAGAGCTGGGACCATCTACAAGGGTTATCTAGTTCAAAATGTTAGGGACTAGGAAGGCTTTAAGGAGAAAGTGAGCTCTGAAGATCCTCTGACCCAAAAAGACTCTGGAAAGATAAAGGTGAGAAGTAGCACCCAGCAAAAGCCAGACCCTAAAGAGCTCTGCGGTCCAGGTTAAGGATTTGGATTTTATACTGAAGGCAACAGGGAGTCACAGAAAAATTTTACGAATAGTTACCATACCTCTTGCTATCTGCATAACACTGTAGGATTAGAAAGTATTCCTAAATAAACATCTTTCATATGCATTATTCCATTTAGCTCTACAACAATACTAACATAAAACTTAGGCCCTGTCTTATAAGAGGGGGCAAAATCCACTGAGGTTCAAAGAAGCAAAATGAAAGACTCAAGACTGAACAGCGAAACATTCAGTATTTTCAAATGCTAGACTCTCTTTGGAAAACTTGGTGGTGTAGTGGCTAAGTGCTATGGCTGTTAACCAAAGTTGGCAGTTCAAATCCACCAGGAGCTTCCTTGGAAACTCCATGGAGAAGTTCTACTCTGTCCTATAGGGTCACTATGAGTGGAATCAACTTGAGGGCAACGGGTTTGGGTTTTTTTTTTGTTTTGTTTTGTTTAGACTCACTTAAATTTTAACTTTCTCCACATTTTGTTTCCCTGTACAATGCAACTAGGGTTAAAGAGATCAAAGAAGTATTCTCAGCTAGACTTCCTTCAGAGGCAATTAAGAGGTATCATGGTGTAGTGGAAATATCACCATTCTTACTGTGAACATTTTCATCTTTCCAGCTGGATATAAAGCAATCAGTTAATTAGAAAGCATGATTTGCATTACACAAACAGCTACACATGGGTGATCAGAAACTAGCTCCATTCTAATTTTATCAGAATGTCACAGCTACCTTGCAGGAACAGCTGGTTATTCCATTGGCATATTTTTGTTTCGCATTCTGGTAGTTGTGAACCGTGCTAACAATTACTTTGATGTTGTACAAACTCTTTGATTTTGATCTGGTCTTGCTCGCTAACCTGGATTTGCTCAATGATGATTTTTAGATCTGTTTGTTTTAATAAGTTGTTTTGCAATAATAAAACACACTTATAGCTAAAAACACATCTCTTTAAAATTTCTGTGGGAAAATGCTTTTATAAATTTACTCATACCTCTTTTTTTATACAGGCTTCCAAAAATTTCAGAGCTAAATTTAAGTACATATGAAAAATATATATATAATCCTACTGCTTATTTATTTTTTACTCATAGAAATACTTTGCTAACGTTTTTATCCCAAATGTTATATCCTCTTGTGAAGAGCTGCACGAACAAACCAAAAATACTGGTGAACAGAAACAAGAGGATGCAGGCGGCTTCTTAAAAAGACTCTCAAAATAGACCTCAATTACCTTTTTAAAAATATCAGAAAATCATAGGCTTTTAGAATAACTGGATCTTGACAATTGTGAATTTATCTTTAAATATTAAGTATACATAACAATCATGATAATCCAGAATTTATCCCCAAATACATATCAAAAGAAAACAAAAACAAAACCCATTGCTGTTGAGTCGATTCTGACTCATAGTGACCCTACAGGGCAGAGTAGAACTGCCCCATAGGGTTTCCAAGGCTGAAATCTTTATGGTTAGCAGCCAAGTGTTTAACCATTGTAACCACCAGGACTCCTAAAATACATATAAAAACTAAAAAAAAAAAAAACTAAACCTGTTGCGGTCGGTAAGATTCCAACTCACAGTAACCCTACAAGACAGAGAAGAACTGCCCCCATAGGGTTTCCAAGGAGCAGCTGGTGGATTCAAACTGCCGACCTTTTGGTTAGCAGCTGTAGCTCTCAATCACTGTGCCACCAGGCTCCGAAAATACATATAGCAAAGTGAGAAAAAAAAAATTCCAGAGAACTGTTTGTACTATTGCTCAGACAGCAACTAAAATTATATTACCTTTTGGAGAACATCTAAAGCTGTAAGTACAGCTTCCTGCAAACTTGTCAAAACTGCTTCAGTGTAAGATGGAAGAATAAAAGGGGATGCATCTGAACTTATTGGGACTGAAACAGCACTGTGCAATATGACTCCCAACTTTTGCAAGTCATCCATGTTGAAACCAGTTTTTATGTGCTGGTAGAGAGCTGGAAATATCTGAATTAAAGCTGTAAGAAAAGGCTGGCTGGGAATGAAAGTTAATTTATCAAAAGTAATAGGAGGCTTAGTGCTTTCAGATCCAATTTTATACCAGGTATTCCATGCAGCCCACCAGAGATTCAAATCTTCAAGCTCATCATTAACTATGGGTGGCTCTGAGCTATTATATCTTCCAAGTCTTTCTCCAATGGAATCTGTTCTTATAAATGGCCTGCTCAGGCTAGGGCCTGACATGGGTCCTATAAGGACAGGCACAGGTACATTAACTGCAGGTGGTGTCTCAGGCTTCTCTGAGTCTCTGACAGGGGATACAATCTGTAAAATTTCCTGGAAGCTTTTCAGAGCAGCCAGAGATACTTCATTGTTTTTGCTGAGGGCTGCTGATTGTATGTGGTCAAGAAGAACATCCCATGCTCTGGAAAAATCTCCTATATTTGGAAGAGAAAAAAAAAATCTATCACCATAAAAGTGATATTTTCTCTTAATATGAGACACTTTAAAGTCTATCTGCTTTATTTTTCTGCTTAAATTCCCATAGAACTAGCAAAAATATACTTAGGTACTAAGGTACTAACAATACGAATTAACATCATCCCAACCCAGAAATCCAGGGAAAAAAAAAATGAGATACAGGGAAAAAGAGCATAAAGAAGAGGATAACAGGTATATCGAACAATATTTTGGTCTTAAAAACAAAATTCTATATGATGCATGTATACCTGTTTATACTCTTTCCTAGTACCTCTGCCTGAGAACAGAAAAAACCTACAAAGGTTTTAAAAAAAGAAAAAAGAAGGCTTTTTGGTAAATAAAAATAAATCTACATTTATTAATGATTATGTAAGACTTTTTTCATTCTTAAACATACTGGAAAGGTTGTAAGTTATACAGTATGATTGATGTGTTTTATAAGTCCGAATGTTTAAAATAAACTATATCATATTCCACAAAACCTTAACTTTATACTTTGATTTTCATATTTTAAATAATTTCACAACTGCAGAATTTTCTTAAACAGGAGACCAGGCAAAAATGTACCATAAGGAATAAACTGTCCTTTTTCAATGAGTCTAAATTTGTTCCTCTCATGTGAATCTGAGTCTACTGATCCACCATCAGCAGAACATGGACTCAACAGCTCAGTGGCAGGTACTAGTTTTCACTGATTAATTCAATCTCTTGCCCTGCTCCTGTGACCAACTAAACACATTTACAATGAAGCTCTCTATGGCCAGGTATAGTTATTTTTCCAAGAAACATGGCAAAAATGACCTTGTTTCTACAGCAGTCAAACCCAATGGCTTCATTACTACCAACATACTTGCATTAAAATAATGCAAAAATCACAGAAACTGACATTTTCTACAGCAGGAGAACGTGACTAGGCTATGAAATACATAATCAAGATGTACAGACTTTCATTTTGCAAAGGCTATAAATGACTAAATTTTCTTTTTTAAAAATAAGAGAAACCCAAGTGACTGCAGGAAGCATTCAGTTAATTGAAAGCTCGAAGTCTGGCATAAAATAATAGGTACTACTCTGCCTGCACAGGACAAACTATAACACCTGCCCAATTATACCACCTATGTCCCTCCATACTCTATTTTAAAAAAACTAAGGTATAATTTACATACAGTAAAAAGCACAGATTTTTAAGTAAACAGTTCAAAGAGTTTTGACAAACTACATTTAAACAGCTAAACAAAACACTTGTACCTGTTGCCATCCCAGTTAAAAAGTCAAAAGAATCATCTATCTGACAACCAGAATGGTGAACTAATCTCAGATTTAGAATATTCCATGCCATAGTGGGGGAAAGACTCCTATAGTTCCTTTATTAACATACTTTACATCTAGGAAGAAGTTCCCTATCTATAAGACTAAGTATAATTATCACACATGGTTATGTTAAAAATATGAACCTTGTCTAAAATAATAATAAAAACCATTTCCTAGTCTTCAAGTTACAAAAAATCATCAAAACTACATGAATTGCCTTACATCTTCATCTAGAAAAACGAAATCCGTTAGTTCTTATCTTTTAAAATAAAGTAGCTATCACAGAGGTATTAAAAATGCTTGTTTTGTCAAAACTTAGTGAATGCACAATAAAGATTTATGTATTTTATTATATGTAAATTTTACATAAAGAGAAAAAAGCGAGACAAAATTTTAAAAAATACATCAAGCTCTAAAGTGCAAAAGGAATCAGACTCCACAAATTATTTGCTGTTGAATAAAAAAAGTTAAATGAGCAAAAGTACGTAAGAATAACACACTCAAATGCCTATGAAAAGAGTAAATATGCTTATGCTTTAACATAAGGTTAAAAAAAGTCAAACATAAAATAACACATATAGCATGCTCACAACTATGTACAAAAGCATCTCTGTTCACTTTTCTCTCTGACTCCCATCACTATCGTCAAAATTGAAGCTATTATAATCTGTATCAGGGCGCCTCAACCTCAGCACTACTGACATTTTGGGTTGGATAATTCTTTGTTGTGTGGGCTGTCCTGTGTACTGCAGATGTTTAGCGGCATCCCTGGCCTCTACCCACCAGACGCTAGTCCCCGGTGTGACAACCAAAACGTCTCCAGACATTGCCAACTGTTCCTTGGGGGGCAAAATCACCCCTGGTTGAGAAACACTGATCTACATGAGCAATAGCTGCCTAACAATATCCTGCCATCCTTTTAAAATATATCAGAAAACTCTGCCATCTTTCCTTGCTGCCATTCCATTGTACACAAACCAACTAAGGTGATCTTCTGATGTGCCTATCTGATTATGTCACATCACGAACTAAGACGTTTCACAGTAGTTTTTCATTGCTCTTAGGATGAAGTCCTAACTATTGAACATGATCTACAAAGTTGTCCATGACCTGGTCTCTCCCCATCTCTACAACCTCATCTGTAATCATGCATTTCTTTACTCTCTTCATTCCATTCAAACTTGCTAGGTTCCTCATCACCTGCTCACCCCTGGCTCTAAATCTTCTCCTATTCCTTTTACACATTCTGATATAATGCTCTCCCCACTTCATCTTACCCTTGCCTGATGAATTCCTACTTACATGTCAGATCTCAAGTAAAATATCACTTTCTATTATAAGCTCACAATGTACCACTCCTTCGTAGCGCTCATCGTTTTTGCAATTTTACATTCGCGTATGTAATTATGGTTCCTCACTCATACCTGTGACAGCATGGAAAAGTATAGTTTGCACATCATTGTGCCCCCTAGAGCCCAGACCACAGTAGGGACACGTTAACTATTTTCTGAACGAAAATACACACTTGAATTTAGAATCTGTTGTTCTTGGGTAGTGCCATTGTAAATGAAATTTAAAAGAATCACCTGTTATTTTCCAAATTTCCTTTAGCATTAATTACTTGTATAAATTCATTGCCATCGAGTCGATTCCAACTCATAGCGACCCTATAGGACAGAAGAGAACTGCCTCATGGGGTTTCCAATGCTGTAATCTTTAGGGAAGCAGATTGCCATATGTTTCTCCCACAGAGCTGCTGGTGGGTTTGAACCACCGACCTTTCAGTTAGCAGCCGTGTGCTTTAACCCTTGCACCACCAGGGCTCCTCAAATTACTTACATAAGCCCCCCAAATGCATATATACCTAAAGGTTGCAGTAAATATCTTCTAGTGTTGAAGATTCTTGCTACTCCAGCCAATGTTAATACCCATGTCTCAGCCCACTGCTTCTCTGCTGTATCCCTTGAATGATGAATGAGAATATTGCCACCTCCTGACTCAATCTTTTCTTTGTCTGCGGTGGTAGAAGACTCTCGAACTCGGTCCAGTAGATGAAAGAGAACCTGAATATTTACAAAAATGTCATATGAAAAGTAGTGATAACACAGCTTATGTAATGGCACAGTAAACTAGGAATTCTTACCAAAAATATACAGCCTGCTCAATTCCCATACGTAAGAGGAAACTGACCAACAGAGGTACCCTTATATTCTTAAGTTTATCCTTAAGGTCATGAAATGCAAAAAGTTAAACAGGATAGAATAATGTATAAGACTTGTTGAACAGGTATCATTGGAACATCTATGGGGCAATCTACACGATAAGAACAAAGCGGGGGCAGCAATCTGTGTTTTAACAAACCCTCTAAGTGATTCTGTTATATGCTAATATTTAAGAGCCTCTGAAGCAGAATAATCTAGAAATAAAATTACAATGGATAGTGGGATATATGGGAAGCGAGGAAGAAAAAGACTCATTTAGAATAGGCAGCAAAAAAGATTAATAATGAAGTTGTTTGAAAGAAAAACAGAAATCAGGAAAAAAACAGGTTTGTTTTTAAACAGTATGGAAGATTCAAGCATGTCTGTGAACTAAGCAGGAGTCAGGAGATGGAACTGAAATAGAAAGCACAAGAGGGAACAATGTTTTTAATTATTTTTATTAGGAAAAATAATTATTTTTAAGATGACATTTTGGGATCTTTTTAATACACTGTAAACATTATTAAATACAAATAAGGTTTACTGTATTGCCTACTGTCAAAAAATGTTCTCAAAAATACAAAAAAGTGAAAGGATTTAAAGCAGAATTTTATTAAAATTGAACAGATACAACAAAAAAGGAGAGCCTTTTAGCAATGAGGGCACGCTCACTAATAAGCTGTTGACTTTAAAAAAGTTTTCAAAAGGGGAGAAAATGGAAAAATGAAATTGTGTATTTAATGAATTGCTGTTAGTTGCCATCAAGCTGGCTCTGATTCATGGCGACCTTATGCATAATGGAACAAAATGTAGCCCAGTCCTGCATCTTAATGATCTTTGGTATGTTTGAGTCTGTTGTTGCAGCTACTGTGTACTGCCTTCCAACTTTGGGGACTCATCTAGCACTATATCGGACAATATTCTGTTAGATCCATAAGGTTTTCATCAGCTAATTTTTGGAAGTAGATTACTAGGCCTTGCTTCCGACTCTTAGTTTGGAAGCTCCCGAAACGTGTCCACCACGGGTGACCTTGCTAGCATTTGAAATACCAGTAGCATAGCTCCCAACATCATAGCAACAAGCAAGCCACCAGTGTGTCAAACTGACAGAAGGATGGTGGATTTATTGAGTGAACATGTATAATTTACCACATGGAAGTTACTTTTGTTTGGTGAGTCTGCAAGTGAATTTCACTGTAAATGATATTCGTTTATTCATACAATTATATATTTGAATTACATGTATATAAGTAGCCCTCAAAGGGGGGGAAAAAAAAAAAAAAACAACTTCCTACCCTATTTTAAGGAGTTGATTACCTTCTGGGGTTTAACAACCCCTGGTTTTACTATTCAGGAAAACATGAAACTAAAAGAGAAGGGAGGAGGAAGAAATTAGAGATAGCAAGATTAAGTGATCAAAACAGAAACAGAGATGAGGCTTTTAATATCTGATTCGTTCTCTGTGAGGAACAATTCAAAATAGGAGAAAGCTAATATTTTCTATTTTGTGTAATACACAAACACATGGAAATTCTTCTTTAAAAAAACAGGAAAATGTTTCATTTAAAAAGTATATAAGCATATCTCAATTAAAAGCTGATAATTGAAGCTATTTTACAATACCTTCCATATAACAGTGTGCCATGTTAAATGTTGTAACAAAGTTCCATGTGCACCAATTGTAGAAAACAGAGTTTGCCCAGCACTCTTCCTAACAGCTGGACGGGGGTCCACACATAGTTCACCCAATTTTGCATAAAGACACAACCACAAGCAATCAAACGGTGGTGCAGGGTGGAACGGCCGATTTAAAACCACTCCTTTCTCTTCTGCCTGCTTTTGCTGTGCTGCCTCTTCCTTATTTAATTCTTTTTCAATAGTTTCCCCTCTTTGGAAAAAATAATCTGAAATATTCCACTAAAAAGTAAAGTAGAAAAATATCACTTTATGAATAACTTTATTTTAAACACACAATAAATTAAATTTGCAATAGAAGGCCACTTACCTTTCAGAATAAAACTTAAATTACTTAAGAAATCTTTTCCCTAGTAGAATAGATTTAATGAAAACATCTCTAGCTCAGACAGTGCTTCTATCTGATTTTAGTAGAATTTAGGGAAACAATCTAGTTTTAAGATTAATTTTTAATTTTTACTGTCTATTATGAAAAATTTCAAAAACATACAGAAAGACAGGGAGAAAAGTATAATGAACTTCAATGTACTGATATACCCATCATCCAGGTATAACAACTGTTAACATTTTGCCATATTTACTTCATGCTCATATTCTTAAATCTCTAATAAAGGCTTTAAAAAATATAACCATAATACTATTATCACAACGAGCAAAATTGTTAGTGAATACTTAATATTTAATATTTTACAATTTTATATAAGAGCAATTACTGTCTCCAAACATATCTTAAGACTAAATTTTCAACCACAATAAAGTAAATGAATTAATGATAATTATGCCAATGGTAAAAATGTTAGGCATCCAATATCTATGAACATAAATGTAAAATAAAGGAGGTGATATCTAGCAGTAATTAATCAACATTAAATTAACTGCCACTCTTTGCGAGCAATTATATACAAAGTATGCTTATACATATTTGTGTAATTATATTTTTAATAGTAAAATATTAACGTACCTAGCTTATGAGGGCAGTAAGTTTGACTTTATAAAACTTATGAGTTATACATTTAAAAGATTCTAAACAATTACTGTTAAACAAATACATATTGGAAACAGCTCTGTACATGTTTACTTCATGTCATATTAATGCCATAACTTTGATTTTATTTATTTTTTATTAAAGATGAGTGAAATGAGGCTCAGGAGGTCAATAATTTAACAATTAACAGGGGGTAGGCAGGATTAAAATACAGGTATATACGTTTCCAGAGTATATGCTCTCCCACTATCATATGCTGTTTCTTAATAGCTAATAAAACAGAGTCAACAGGCTACCAAACCGAAAAAAAAAAACCAATCCCGTTGCCATTGAGTTGATTGCGATTCATAGCAACCCTACAGGACAGAGTAGAACTGTCCCATACAGTTTCCAAGGAGCGGCTGGTAGATTTGAACTGCCAACCTTTTGGTTAGCAGCCAAGGTCTTAACCACTGCGCCATCCGGGCTCCACTATAGGACTATGCAAATAGTAGAGCCTTTTACTAAAGCTTCATTTACTAGATACATAGTACATGAAAATGCTGCTAATAAAATAATATCGAAAATCAATTAACTTTCACTCTAAAGTCAACTGAATATTTTTCCTGTATATACTCTTAATTGTTTACCAAGTCTTCTCATGACAAACACTGCAAAAACCAAACTTCAGCTCAATATAGCAACATTATTCCAAATACTTCATTTAATCCTTCATGAAAGATATGTTTGATATTTCAGTCATTTAAACAATTCCCATAGAGTCTAAAGAACATTTGCTTAGCATTCACTCACAACTGTATAACAGTGATTTCTAAGCTATACTATTATAAGAAAGGCAATGATACTTACCAATAAACCTATTGAAGTTAAACTAATATTAAGTTCTTGGTTATGAAGCCCAAAGCTACCTGCAACATCTACAACTATCTGCAGACAAGTACAAGGCATTGTTGGTAGAAAGTCTGTCACAACTAACTGAAGACACTGGAATGCAGTTCGTATCAAGGATTCTCTGAAAACATAAAAGAAATTTATTCTGATGCATTAGAAAGAAATGAGTAAAATTTACATACTTTACAATAGTCCGGATAAAATTTAAAATTTGCATAAGAAAAATCTTCCCTAATATAGGTCATATAATACTCTAATATTTACATAAATGTAAAAAAGTATGTTTAAACAAATTAACAAAAATAAAGAAAGAAACTTACAGGTAAAGAAATAAAAACAGTAGCTTAAAAAAAGGGAAAAGGAAATATGCCATTAACACCATATTATTTCTATTTGTATTTAGCACCAACTAGTCAAAACAAGAAAACCTATGCAATGAATGAGACAGGCAAGTTGGCTACAGTCACTTTTCTCACCGCTGTGTCCCTAATATCTAGCACGGTGTCTAGCAAATGTAAACATGCATGATGTACTCACTGAATGACAATGAGTTCCTCACTCTCTTGTAACTATTCTGTATCTTATTTAAATATCCAAAGAAATATAAAATTTTATATTTAGTCTGTGAGAAGGGGGTAAATTTTTAATTTCAAATAAAGAAAATAAGAACTATTTTATTTTGTAAAGAAAATCTGGTGGTGAAAAGTAATGAAAATGAAAATTACAGTAGGTAACGCTGTGTGCTTACTATATCATGTACTTCCTAAGTGTTTTATACGCATTAATTCATTGCATCCAACAATGTCCTAGGTTATACAGAAAACTACTTAAACAGAAAGGTTAAGTAACTTGCAATGTCAACAGCAAGGAATGAGTACTTTGGGAATCGCAAATTTAAACAACGAGAAAACTCTACACACCTATTAGGACGGCTAAAATCCAAAATGCAAAATGGTACCACCACACTGGAAGACAGTTTGGCATTCTCTTACAAAGATAAACGTAACCTTACCATATGACCCAGCAATTTCACTCCTAGGAATTTACCCAATTGATTTGAAAACCTATGTCATTTTAAAGCAGTTTTTAGATTTTCTAATATATGCAGAGAAGTCAGGACCTAAATATTATATCACATCTTACCAAATATTAATTTTAACAAAATAAAACCTTGTATTTGAATATTTTATAAAATTTGTTGTATTTGTTCATTTATCTTTAAGAAAGAATCTTGCATTCTGGTATAAGCATAAAACAAACAGCAAATTCTCCATTCTTCTAAAACAAAGGTGAGCTCTAAAAATTCCCTATAGCCACTTGCGAGTAATGTTAAGAAAAACTATTCATCTTAGACTTAGGCAGCAAAAGCATACATAAAAAAAATTACCAGTATGCGAGATTTTAGAATAGAGTCTTTCTACCTGTATCTCTTTTTGGATGTTAATTTTAAATACTTACCCTTGATCATTTCTGATTGCTCCCATGACTCCAAGCACTAATGGCCACCCAGGCCCAAGACTGTCTCCCTGACTCTGCAGAATCTGCAACACACATTCTAACTGCTTGAGTCGGATATCAGGGTGGTTAATATTGGACATCTCCTTTAATGGATTCAATAAAAGCAACTGGAGCCTCTGAAAACAGGGCAAGAAACTAATTAGGATAAAAAGCCCAGTTGTTATTACTTTTTGTAAGTTTAAATTCACTCCACACAGACTACTCTGGCAAATAGAAATATTTCTATTAAAATAAACATTATTTTAATTTCTATTAGTAATCATTAGAGGTTAAGTTTGTCATCTATTTCTTTTTTTAAAAATAAGAGAAAATAAAAACCAATCTTCAAGATGTTAGATTTCAGGATAAATGAGGGAGTACCCTTACTTTAAAAGGCATTAACTATAAACCCATATAAAAATGAACCTCACTGAAGGAAATATATTTCTAGCTGTATGTGGAGACAGAAAACTCCCAATATTTAAAATTAGTTTTCATTTATTTTATTAATGAATACCACATGTATTCAAAATTCTTAAGTGTGATTAAAAAAAAGAAGAAGTTATAATACCCATAAAAATGAACAAGTACAGCAGACATTAACAAAGATGAAGTATGTTGGAGAGCATAAAAGGCACTCCAGTCTATTTCTTTCAGCATCTGAAAGCACTTGCCTCATTTTAACTTTCTTCTGTTCAAGGATTCATTTATTTGGTTCACTAATTGAACAAACATTTATTAGCTCTCACTATGTGACAGGTACTGAGCTAGACAAGATTCTTCTTTTCAAAAAAACTCAAATTGTAGTGGGGAAAACTATAAACTCACTAAAATGTAAGCTCTAGAGAAGCACAAACCTTTTCTGTCTTGTTCATCATTCTACTGTGGGAGCTAAAAACACGGCCTAACACACAGTTTGTACTCAATAATTATTTCTTGAGCGAATCTGTAGAATACAGTTACAATCCAATAAGATAATGAGAATGGTTGTTATTAAGTGCCCTAGCTCTACTCAGTCTTGAATAATAAAACTTTAATGGACTTATTAAAACTCTGTAGATACACGTGAATGATTAAGAGAGTCAGGACAAAAAAATTCCTGACACAAAGTTAGCTCTGGAAGTATAAAATAACTTTTTAAATTATTCAACAATAAAAATCTATTTTATTGTACTTGCATCTTCTACCACTTACTTTCTTCCCATATAAGAACAGTGAGACAGAAAAAAAAAAAGCAGACAGGTAAGGACCAAAGCAAAATAGATTATTAAGTTGTTGTTGTTGTTGTTAGGTGCTACTGAGTTGATTTCGACTCAAAGTGACCCCGTGTGACAGGGCAGAACTGCCCCATAGGGTTTTCTGGGCTCTGCTCTTTATGGGAGCAGATCATCACGTCTTTCTCTTGTGAAGCCGCTGGGTGAGTTCAAGTCATCAACTTTTCGGTTGGTTAGTATCTGAGTGCTTAATTGTTGGTCTTAGTACTAAATGAAGAGGGTAATTTATTAACTTAATTCAGTGTCAGTCACCAGAAGGTGTTTAAAATTTATTATGAAGACAATCCTAAATATCCAGGCATATCAGCCTTCTGTAAGAGTTCCACGACCTACATACAAAATATTAAGTAACAAAAACCCATCTTTAGAATATCACTCATTTGATTAAAAAAAAAGAATTATATATGGGCAAGATTGATTTTGTACTAAGTATTCTTTTTTAAAAATGAGATAGGAGTCTCACCAAATTACCTGGTTTTGTGAAAGTGGAGGATCATGATTAAATGTTAGTCCTGCTTTAATAAGTGAAGTTAAAGCTTCTGCTCCCCATTCTCTCATTCGAGAGTTTGGATGCTGGCAGACCTGAAGGTACACACATTGAATAAAAATTAAATATTTAATTTTTATGCTTAAGATGCAAATCATACATCAATTTTAGAAAAGAAAAATTTAAATGTTATATTTTCTGTTCTTGTTACATTTTTGAAATTATACCAAATATTCATACCATATAAAGAAAAATTATATCTAAAATGTAAGTAAGCTTACCTTCTGAATAAGGGGCAAGAGGAAGCAATAGAGAGACAAGAAAAAAAGATGAAACTGAAACAAGTTATAGGAAAAAAGAATTTCATAAAAGTAAATGATATGTCATCAGAGTAAATGGAAGAAGTAAACTGATACTAAGGTTCCTAATTTAATCGAGCTTCAATCAAATACTGTGCTAAAATTTAAAAAAATTGTTTTTTTGTCATTTGATGAGAACGTCCAATAATGAAGAAATCTGCCTATATCCCTGATGATTCATAAAAGTCATTCCAATAAAATGAAAAAAAAAAAACCCTCATGTACCTCTGTTTTCCTTACTGAGAATATTATCTTTCTCAAGTTACTAAAATAACATAAAATGAGCCTGGTAACCTAGACCTAAACTGCACACAAACATATGTACAGACAGAAGCAGCTAGTTATAAAGAAGCAACTGTTATAAATCACCCCAACTTGAATACAAAAGAATACAAATTCCCACGTAAAATTCACTGGCACTATCTTTAACTAGTAATACCAATCAGGTTTTTCACTTTGTAGAACGGCTATCTCATAATCATAGCAAAGACTGTAAATGAGCAGTATTTACTCCCACCTGTCAGCCCCAATTACCCTGAAGTTGTTTCAGAACTAGCCAGAACTAGGGTGATCAAAAGATGGTGAAAAGAATGAAGAGGTCCCAAGCTAACAGCTGGAGGAGACTTCAGAGATTTCATTCTTATTTCTCACTTTAAAATTTCACCCATTTTCCCCAGAACAAGTAGAGGGTGCCCGGTTACCACCATTGACTGCTTTGGCAGGGATCACAATAGAGGGTACTGGACAGAGCGAGATAAAAATGTAGAACAAAATTCAAACTGAAAAAAAAAAAAAAAAAAAAAAAAAAGACCAGGCTTGCTGATCTGACAGAGACTGGTGAAATCCCGAGAGTATTGCCCCTGGACACCCTTTTAACTTCAGTACTGAAGTCACTCCTGAGGTTCACCCTTCAGCCAAAGATTAGACAGGTCTATAGGGCCAACAATAACACCCGTAAAGGACGTGCTTCATAGTTCAATCATGTATATGAGACTAATGGGCACACCAGCCCAAAAACAAAAGGACAGGAAAACTGGACGAATGGAAACAGGGAACCTGGGGTGGAGAAGCGGAGAGTGTTGACACATCATGGGGTTGGCAACCAATGTCACAAAACAATTTGTGTATTAACTGTTTAATGAGAAACTAATTTGCTCTGTAAACTTTCACCTAAATCACAACAACAACAACAAAAAATCACCCATTTTCAGTCAATAAAAGCAAACTGCTCCCTCATCAAACCAATTACTATACAACTTTAGTCCTTTATAAAATATACATATGTAAGTACGAGGTCAGGAAAGGGGGGAAAAAGTTAATGCTAATTTTTCAAATGGTTATCCAGAATCATTAGTTCAATGTATATATCTTTATTTTGGTAACTTAATCATCGCACATGCACAAATGGTAAGACATTCAACAGTTCTTAATAGAAAATTAAATGTAATGTTTAAGAAAAAGAGGTTACCTCAAGTAGGTGGCCAGTTAGAGGTCTCCATAAAACTTCTATTCGGTGCATGTTAACAAGCCCAGTTTCTAACAATTTGGCAACAGCAAAAAGAGATGGTTCCTAGGGAGAAAACATATTGCATTTTGATACTATAAGGAAAAATTTGAAGACTTCAAATGTAAATAAAACTGAGAATACTCTAGACAGTTTGACTGTAATTAATATTATTTAATATAAAATCTGCAATAAATATAAACCTGCTACCAAGAAACAAGTCTTTCTGCCACCCTCAACTATCCACAATGGCCCAAATTGGAAAATTTGGTCAGGGAGAGAATATTTTAGTAGGGAAACAGTCAAAATTCAAAAATTATACCAGACAAATAGAATGGCTAGTATTCTGACCAGAAGGGAAAAGAGCATTCTTATTAGTGAAGTTTTGAAATGTCCAGGCTTCGTGTATGAATGTCACAAAGTATGATAAAAAATAAAGGAGACAGCAGGAACCAGGGGAAAAAAAAAATGAAGCCAGTTTTAGACACTGACAGAAGAATAAAAGAGACAGAAGACAAAACAGCTCTTTAAAGTCACTGGCATATCAACAACCAGAAAGGGAATCAGTTTATATCACATACAGCTAAATTGGAGCCCTGGTGGCACACTGGTGAAGAGCCACCGCTACTAACCAAAAGCATGGCAGTTTGAATCCACTAGCTGCTCCTTGGAAACCCTATAGGGCAGTTCTACTCTGTCCTATCTAAGGCTGCTATGGGTTGGAATTGACTCGATGGCAATGGGTTTTTGGTATGGCTAAATAAGAGTACTTCGTCCATGTGTTACAATAACAGCTTCAGTGAAAAAAAACCAAGGGCAACTATCTCTAACCCAATACTAATAAAGGTGGTAAAATATGCTTAAATGCAAATTCAGCTGACTGAAGCCATGAATATTTTCTAATGGGTAACTTTTTCAAACTGAGACATGGCATTAAAAAAAAGGAAAACTAAAAAAAAAAAAAATCCAGCAAATTATAATAATTTTATGATTTTAAAGGAAAGGATCTTTTACTATTCTATATATTTAACATTTTTCCAGTGCAATAAAAATCTAATATGAAAATGTCTAAGAACATGTTTCTTTCCTAGTAGAAGTCAGTACACTGAAACAAGTACAATGGGATTTTAAGACAAATATAGTCAGGCTGACTCTTCCTGAATGTGCTAATGTTGTAGGCACCTTAAAAACTTTTATGGTAGAAAAATACATGATTCTAGAGACAATATAGTGGTGAATACTGCTGCCTGTGGAGTTTTAACTGCTTGGGATCTCACCTCTACGACTTAATAGGTATATAACCTTGGGTAGCTTACTACCTCTTCTGAATCTATTTTATTTTTAATCTATAAAATGGAAATAATATCAGCATAGAATCTCTCCTAAAAGTATAGAACCTACCTCAAGTTAGAAAGTGCCTGGCATATATAAGTTCCCAATAAATGTTGCCTATTACTACCTTGGTGTTATTATAATTTGAACCAGGGTGTGTACAATAATCACGTGTATCCTTTAAAAGAATATATAGATGCCCAGGCCCCACACCTGAAGATGCTGATTCAGTATGCCTTGAATATGGGCCTCACATTTGTACTTCTTTAAACCTCCACAGCTGACTTCGATGTACAGCAAAGTGAGAGCCAGTAGCAAAGTGGTTAAGAATGGATTGATTTGGAGGAAACTATAAAACATCTGCATAGGCCTTCACCTGTTTGCAGAATTCTCTAGCTATGTGCTATAATGTGAAACTTTGACCCAACAAGACTTTCTTGACTAATCTTTAAATTAGTCACATGAGCCAAGATGACAAGCCGTAGTACACTGAATTACAATTTAAGGACCAGGCAGACAACATAATTTTGGATCCTACCATAACATGTTAAATAAATCATAAAGCTGCATTCTCAGCTTTTTAATCATGTTCTGGGTTGTCTTCACTTTTTCATAAATGGTCAAACTAAACTATATTTATTCATTTTAAAACGTAGAAGGCATTTAATTTTAAATAATTATTCCTAAGATAGAAATAAATCCAAATTTTCCTGTGCTTTCCAAGTAAAATAGAAAATGATACTTTGAGTATAGAAATGTTCTCGAATGTCAATATTCAAAAGTACTGTTTTACTGAGTCAATGGACAAAGCAAAAAATTAATTTTCAATGGATGTTTTCAAGGATAGAAACAGTAAAGGAGAATCATAAGTTTCAGGAAAAAAAAAAAAGATTAGCTCCTTATTTTCCCTCCTAACCCAGATAAGAGGAATTGAAACACTGACTTAACACTACTTATTTTAAATCCTGAATTAATCCCAATCATAAATTTATATTTCAAATTACAAATAATCGTGACATTTTGTAGAGTTCATTTATAAAAATAGGGTTGCATTATTCTTTAAAAAAATATTCAATACACAAAAGAAATGGACACAACTTAAAATCGCAATATATATTACAAGGCAAAACATGTCCTCTTAACTTCCTCAACAAATAACAACCATAAATGGTAAAAACTCAAAAGTATGGTTGGTCTACAAAGTAACGATATTCTAGGGTGAATAACTTATTTAACTAAATAGTGTGTCATATTTAAGACAGAAAGGTAAAATATCATACCTTATTATTTCCATAGGCCATATCCATTGCTTCTAGGGATAAGGAGCAAAGTGCATTTATTAAATGATGCAATGAAACATCATCAAGATACCTAAAACAAAAATGAAGTAATAAGACATTTTGATTTAAAATATATAGACAATAACAATGTTTCTATCAATTTAAAAAACTGACTCTTACTGTGAGCTTTCAAACAATCTTGAAAGTATATTGGAAATCACAGGTAAATCTGTCATCACAGCTGTTGTTAGAACCTACGAAAGGAATAAAATTAAATGTAACACAGGAACATTCTGGGAAGCTCTAACTGGGTAAGAACAACTAGGACTTACCGTACTGGGTCCTTCTACAGCTCTCCCAGGTTTCAAGGCACCACCACTACTAGGCTTTAATCCTAAAATCCATACAAGATGCTGTTAAAAAAAAAAAAAAGCAGTATCAAAACAAATTTATAAAATCATAGTAATTCTAATAACTAAAATTAAAATCAGTAATTAAAATTCATACAAAAGACTTATTATACCAAGCACAGGAAGTGGAGCTTAAGCAGTTATAAAAAGCACTTGATCACATCCTACAATATAAGCCATATCTTCTTTCCTTTACGCCTTCTCTTTTTTCATACTTACTGCCTATTCCTTAGGCCTGCCCAAAGCACTAATAGGCACTGCTTAGTTTAATTGTTAATACTTAGATATAAAAACACCACCACTCTCTGACTCAGAGGCTGTAACATACCTGCAGAGTTGCCAAGACAAGTTGCCATGATGTTCCAAGAACAGCCCCGTGGCAGTGTGCCAAGTTAAGTAAAGTCCTCATACACTGGATATTTTTGGAAGTTAGCTATATATGAAAAAATATACATATATTTGCAGAAATGTTAGGAATTTTTGAAAATTAAAAAGCTTGTAAAGCAGCATTATCATATTCAAAGTTTTTTCTTATATAAAAAATAAATAAAAATATTAAGAAAATAGGTTTGGATGCCTATCCGCAATGATTTTGTACAGAACAAATTCATTGGCTTGAAAGTTATCATAATGGGTTATGATAATGTCAACTGCATAGTTTTAACTACTATCTTTTGTAGATGTCATCCAGGTAAAAGAAAATAAATAAGTTCAATGATAAATTTCAACAAATACCAAGAAAGGGTACAACAGATTTTCTTTTTAGTTAACTGGCAACAACAAGAAAAGAACAAGTACTTTACCATTACGGTCCCTTGAGGCTGGACTGCTAGAGGCTGACCCACTGCCACAACCTGCTGGTGAGAGTCACTTGATGGACTTATCATCGTAACACTCTGGCCCTGGATGGAATACGCTAGAACACAAAGGAAAGCGTAAATAATTAACATATACTTACATCCTGCATTCAAAGCAATGTTATATTTTAAAAATATCAACTTGACTGAATAAAGCTCAACTGTGACGTTTATTTAAATATCAGCACTTTTACCAAATATTTTAAAAACTCATGAGGTGTAGAAACCAAGACAAGTTAAGCAAATATTAAGTAAAGAATTTGATATATAACATATAAAACTACAAAACTTTGGTATATTTCTTCATAAGTAAAATAAAATTAGAATACAGTAAGCATTTTACACAGGTATCCCCAGTATACTTTTCTAGATAAAGTCAGAGACCAACACCCATATTTTCAGTCTGAAAATTGAATACCATATTAAAATATATTTACATTATATGTAACAAACTTGAGTGTTTTCAAAATATTAAAAAAAAATGTGGATGTTAGCCTAATCTAAGTGGTTGCAAGCATTACTGTTGTATTAGTTTCATTAAAAAAATCATCACCACCACTTCAACAGTATGTTACAGTTTACAAAAAACTTCCAGATTTATCTTATTTTATCCTTACAACTATTATTAAAATTGGATTTAAACTGGTATTTAAAATTGGAACTTGTTTAAAACTGGTATTTTTTCCTCACCTCCATTTCTTTCTTTCTTTTTTTTAGAGAGATGGAAGAAATTCAGGTTCAGGGATATTAACTTTCCCAAGGTCACAGAGGCAGTGAGTGAAACAGCTGAAGTTTGAACTAAGAATTTCTATAATTTTTTCCTCTACACTATGTCACCCCACTAGATGACAAGAATTTGAGTAAGTCTTACATTTACTGGAAAGTGTAGCTGCAGTGGTGGTATTCAATACAGTAAGGGCATAATGAGGAGGCAGGGAACCCTTGCATATTGCAGTTATAAAGGCATCTCTTGAAGTTACAAGGCCCAGCCTTCCACAAAGAGCAGCCATAGTCAGTTCAGCTTTTAAAATATTCTCAGTGGCAGCTTCATCTGTGCTGAAAAGATATTTTATTTAATCTGATTAATTTATTTTTAATTATGCTGCAAAACATGGAGTTACATATTATATAAATCTTAAAGAAAATCTACACAAAAATACTGTCAAAATTGATATAATAAATAAGGAATTTTAACCAATTAACATAAATCTGAAAATATGAACTGAGTAAAAGCAATGTACAATACACATTCAGGTAGTCCTCGACTTACAATATATTTAAGTTATGACAAATCACTTATGATCATCTTTTTTTGTGATTTGTGTATTTTTTTATATACATATGTATTAAAATATATCCGTAAGTTTATATGTAATGTTCTCAACCCCCAAAGACAAATAAAGATCAGATTTATAAAGATACAGATAATAAAAGGCAATAATAATGAAAACTAAAAAAAATAAAATGAGGTATTCGACTTACGTCAGAACTGACTTACGTAAGTCAGGGACTACCTGTATTTAAGAAAATGGTCGAAACCTCAAAGATTTAACTTAAAATATTAAGCACTGAAAAGTCAGTAAACTCTGCAATTCTGAATAAAAACATCAAAGAAACTGAATAATGTAATTCATCATCATTGTAAAAGTAGTAAGTCTCAAAACAAGGCATTCCGTAATTGTTTGGGATTGTATTTTCCACTAAAATGTGACAGGAATTCTGGTGGGGAGACAGAGCAAGGGAAGGATGCAGGAAGGGTGGTAGAAAAATAATAATGTTCTATACATATAAAAAAATAGTATTAAGAAATATTATTACAAAAAAATATTATTAGGCCAAATTTAAATAAACCACTTTAATGTTTTTAACTACCACGTGTAATATAAAACTTACAAAGACTTAATACCTGGCATCAAGAAGAAGTGAGAGTGCAGCAAGAAGACCACACCAGCAAGCATTCACCATTTCTTCCCAAACAGCTCTGCTAACTTAAAGAAAAAAAAAAGAAACAATACTTGATGATAGTAACAGGTGTTACGATATCTGACAATACATCAAATTCTAAAATCTATGTCAAATACTCCAACAACTCAATTACCAAATACTAAAGCTTTTTGTGATTTGTGTATTTTTTTATATACATATGTATTAAAATATATCCGTAAGTTTATATGTAATGTTCTCAACCCCCAAAGACAAGAAGTCTTAAAACTAATTTGTTTTTAAATATTTACAGTAAGCTCCTTCTGTAAACAAGTTAACTGGTTGATATACCTTTAAATACATATATGTCAAGCACTTAAAAATCAGTAAATATATATGTATATGTATAACATCAGTTCTTACTCCCTTCTCCCTTCCTCCGGCCAAGCTTTCCGCTTGCGTGACCAGCTGGGATTGAGGGTGGGTGCAGATTAACTAGCTGTCTCAGCCAGGAGATTGGTTACATACAATGCGAACTCAGCAAATAAGTAAATACACTGAGTAAAATGAAAGCCGTGTTTCTCACTGTTGGGGAAGGCAATTACAAATACGGAAAGTTAATATAAACCTTGCGGTACTGAACTAGAACTGGAGAAACTGGTACGATCCTATGTATGATATTTAAAATAAACAGATACTTTAAAAAGGTAGACAGATGTGTGCCTATATGTGTGTGTGTATGTATACATATGTTTCCTAACCAAGTAGCAAGAAGTGTATATGCCTACTGTTCATATGTTCATTTCTAAATAATCAAAAACCAAATCTGCTGTCATCAAGTTGATTCCAACTGATGGCAACCCCATGTGTTACAGAGTAGAACTGCTCCATATGGTCTTCTTGGCTGTAATCTTTATGGAAGCAGATCACCAGGCCTTTCTTCCATAGCACCTCTGGGCGGGTTTGAACCGCCAACCTTGAGGGTAGTGGTTGAGTGCAAACCATTTGCGCCACCTAGTGGTTAAGCACACGACTGCAAAGAGATTGGCGGTTCAAACCCACCAGCCACTCTGCAGGAGAAAGATATGGCAGTTTGCTTCTATAAAGATTACAACCTTGGAAACCCTATGCGGCAGTTCTCCTCTTGTCCTGTAAGGTCATTATGAGTCGGAATTGGCTCGACGGCAACAGTTTGGTTTTGGATTCTCCGTTAAAAGGAGCCAAGGCTCCTTGGAAAAATGGATGACTCCATGGCTGGGCAAGAAAAGCCCAAGATGAACCTGGAACATCTTGTTGTATCAGACAGGAAGAATGGTGGGGACATATTAAAAGTACACAGGGGCTGTCTTAAAGGGGGTCCCACTAGCCATGTCTGGGATAATCTGAGCATCAAATACATAATGATAATTATAGATTGTAAACCTCTGAATAAAACAGAAATCCATACTAACATTAAATAAATAAGCAAAACAAAATAAACGAAGGAGAAAGGAAAGCTCTGTTTTATAGTAAAGGTCTCAAAGTATTTCTCCACAGAAGGTTAATTAGCTTTACAGTGAAGAAACCTGGCAGACACCATATTAACCAAACGATAAAAGCTGGCATCACACCAGTAATGATAATGACACAAAATGATACTGTATTTTTCCTGATACAGCACAGCAACATTTCTGTGGTAGCCCTGCTAAAAATGCATAAATCAAATTTAATTATGAGGAAACATCAGATAAAGCCAAGTCGACTAGCCTATACTCTTTAAAAAATGTCAAGGTCATACAAAACAATTAACAACTAAGGAACTGTTGCAGACTGAAAAAGAGTACAGAGACACGGCAACTAAATTCAACATGTGATCCTGAACCATAAAGGACATCAATGGGACAACTGGCAAAATCTGAATGGGTTCTGGGGTTAGATGATGATATTGGACTGATGTTAAATTTCTGATGGTGACTATATTGTGGTTCTGTAGGAAGCGTCCTTATTTTCAGAAAATACACATGTATTAAAGGATAACTTATTCTCAAATGATTCAGAAAAAAAGTATAGCGACATGTATATAAATACAGAGAATGATAAGGTAAATACAGCACAGTGTTAACTGGAAAATCAGGGTGAAGGATATAAGGGAACTCTATTATTTTTATAACTTCTCAATAAATTTCAAATTATTTCAAAAGAAAAAATACAGAATTATAGTATTATACCTATTTCTTTATCCATTTGATCTGATGTTGACTGTAAATCTTGCTGTTCTGATGACTGTGCTGGTGAAGAAGCTGCTTCAGTGGTAGTCTGACATTCTGTTTCAGCCTCCCCTAACTCTCCTTCAATCATACTAGTTATTCCACGTACGAGGTCTAGCAAACAATGGAATGCCACAGACATGGCATAACCTTCCGGTATAGTTGGGGGCTCCACTTTGTCCAACATCTCTAGGCTGAAATTATAAAAAAATCAGAACCCTAATGAGAAGTCACAAAGATGAAAATATATAAGATTATTTCCCCAATTTATGGACTGTAAAAATTAAGATAAGCAGAATAGCAAAAGTAAATGAACATCACTGAGTTTGTTTCACTTGGAAGAGAGATCTACTCTCCTGATCTGACTAGAAAAATTCAGACCTCCCTGACCACCGCCATAACTAATTATTTTAATCATTTATTTCTTGCCTCTCTCCCCAATTATGCCAATATTTTCAGTAATTGCTGATACTGGCAAAATAAAGACTTACACACAGGATAGTACAAGAACTTACCAGATAATAAAACTTCTCAAACTCTGACTTTCAAAATAAAGTGCCACAAAATCAAATCTATCCTGTAACAAGGATGATGCTTTCACACAGGGGAAAAGTATTACTGTGAAATACCAGTTCTCCTGTCATCTCAGATCCAATATGCCAGCAGGGTAAGAATAATACTTAAGAGCATCAATGTACCAAGTTCCAATTTCAGAACGCTTTCCACTCCGTAGTTAGGAGAAAACTTTCAGAAAGAAGGACAAATCTTTTGTCTTAAATCATGGCAAACAGGAAATCACGGTTTTAAATACTTTAAAACTGAAATCTGCCAAGATAATCCAATAGGGAAAGAACAAATGGTGCTGGATCAACTGGATATGCACACGTACAAGAGTAAAGTGGAACCCCCTACTTTATGCCATATACAAAAAATAACTCAAAATGAATCCTAGACCTAAATAAGAGCTAAAACTACAAAACTCCTAGAAGAAAACATGGGTATAAATCCTCATGACCTTGGATTAATAACGAGAGCTTAAGCAACAAAGAAAAAACAGATAAAATGGATTAATCAAAATTAAATACTTTTTAACTGGCACTATTGAAAAAATGAAGACAACTCAAGAATGGGAGAAAATTTTTGCAAATCATGTATCTGGTAAGAGACTAGTATCCAAAATCTATAAAGAACTCTTATAACTAAATAACCAATAAGCACATGAAAAAAATGTTCAACATCATTAGTCATAACCAAATCACTCACTGCTGTTGAGCTGACTGCAACTCATAGTGACCCTAAAGGACAGAGTAAAACTGCTCTATAGGGTTTCCAAGGAGCGGCTGATGGATTCGAACTGCTCACTTTCTGGTTAGCAGCCGAGCTCTTAACCACCGCACCACCAGGGGTCCCATTAGTCATAAGGGAAAAACAAATCAAAACCACAATAAGATACCACTTCACACCCACTACATGGCTGTAATTAGAGACAGATAATAACAAGTGTTGATGAGGATGGGGAGAAACTGGAACTCTGGTACATTGCTGGTAGGACTGTGAAATGATGCAGTCACTTTGGAAAACAGTTTGGCAGTTCCTCAAAAAGTGAGAGTGATCATATGACACAGCAATTCCACCTCTAGGCATATACTCAAAATAAATGAAGACATATGCCTACACAAAAGCTTGTATATAAATGTTTATAGCAGCACTATTCATAATAGCCAAAAAGTAAAAACAACCCAAATGACCATCAACTGATTAACGGATAAACAAAATGTGATACTATGGAATATTATTTAGCCATGAAGAGGAATGAAGTACTGTGAGAAAAGGTAGGTTATATTTGTTTTTATTTATACCATGAACCTGAAAACAAAGCACACATGTTGTTACCTTACCTCATTGCTTCAGTGCTATTTTATTAGAGTTACTACATAATTTTGGGTAAAATGTAATCCATTTATTTAAATAATTCGAATTTAAAGTCAAGTTCCAAAAACTGTCAGAAGCCCAACTTTTAAGGGAGCTACAGTGAAATAAATCCAAATGAGTATAATGCCTCCAATACTTATGTTAAAGTTATCTCTGTCTACGCGTATTATGGAGCCCTGGTGGCTGCAGTGGTTAACAGCTACGGCTGCTAACCAAAGGTCAGCAGTTCAAATCTGCCAACCACAAACTGGAAACTTTATGGGGTGGTTCTACTCTGTCGTATAGGGTTGCTATGAGTCAGAATTTGACGTGATGGTAACGGGTTTGGGTTTTTTTGGTTATCCTTCTTAAGGTTTCAAGTTATTACATACTTAAGAAGTCAATAAAAGAAAAGAATGCACAACCAAGATTTATATGTATGCCTTCAAAGATAATACTGAAAATAATACCGAAAATCATTTTATATTCAATGAATGAATGAAAGATGCTAAATTCAACGGAGAAGTTCCAATGTGAACATACTAACCTATATACAGAAGAGAACCCAATATTTTTCTGGCTATTTATGATTTCAAAAGTGAATAATCGTATTATGTACAGCCCTAAAAAAAAAAACCTGTGAGATTTAGTCTAAACTTGCCTGAAAGTTCCATAAATTTAAGATCAAGTGAAATAAAGTGCTGTACTCAAAATCAGGGTATTTAGTAGTAGAATGACTTAAAATCCAAGTCTCTTAAATTATGGTGACTAAAATTATTAATAAGCAATTTGTTTTCAGACTTTTATTTTATTAAGTAAAGAGCAATTCTACAACTTGGCCAAATTATTTACTCTGTCATAGTTTTTTGTTTTCTTTTTCCCTCAAGCACACTGAAGGTCACGTCTTCCTTTTAATAATATGTCTGCTCAGTATTATTGTCTCAGAGAGACCCTTTCTGTTTTCATCTTTGCCCTGGTCACTCCCTATCGCCTTAATTTGCTTTATTTTTCTTCAAGGAATTAACTTAACTACTACTTGAGGTTACATTATATGTTTATTAGTGTCCTTACTATCTTACTAAAACGTAAGCTCCACAAGGGCAGCAATTTGTTCTGTGTGCTGAGGCTTTTTTTCAGTTTATAAAATGAGGTGGGGAGGTGGATTAGATAATCACTAATGTTCCCTTCAGTGCTAGAAATGTGATTGTTTTATAATTTGATACTCTTAATATTCTCAAGCCATAATATATTTTACAGCAAGGCAAAGCCTATATGAGACTAGGTAACTTTAATATCTTATAATGGCTAAGAAGAAAAATGAATTTTAGTTAAAAAGATTTCAGTCTTCTATGATTCTATACTTTCATAATTTTAGGAAAAATAAAGCTGCATGGTAAAATATTACTATGATGATGCAGACTGAAATATCATATACATTTATCATTTAAACGAGTCAGAGATTCTATTTCACATTAAAAGTCTTGATTGACTATTACACGAACAGTGTTTTAATTACAGATACCAATTATTCAAAATACACTAGTAACTATCCTATGGTAACTGCAGTAATGTTGAACCCACGTAATACTGACTGCTTTATCTCTGTAAGCACTACATTTCATTAACACTTAAGAAAAATCAACAATACATTGTTGAAAATATATGTTACACTGAAATCCATGAATTTATTTTTAATTAATTAAAAATTAAAAATTCCATCTGTTGAACCTAAATATGCGACTACTTAAGCACTTGAATAACTTTTCTCACAGGTAGAATCTTGAAAGGAAGATATATCATTATCCCCACTTACAGATGTGGAAATGAAAAGAAAAAAAGGTTAACTAATTTGTCCAAGGTAGCTCAGTTATTATCAGAAGACCAAGGCGTAAGTCCAAGTTGTCTGAAACCAAGCCACATACTTAACCAAAAAGCTATATATTAGGTAAAGAAATCATACATTGTTTTATAATGCTATTAATAGTTTGCAAATAGTTTAAAAAAAAACCAAAAAACAAACAACAACAAAAAAACAGTCCTAGGTAAAATTCTCAAACTATGACAAAAGAAAACAGGTTCTAAAGTGCCTTAGGAATATTAGATCTAAAATTTTAAATATAATGCAGAAAGAAGAATTTTAGGATTAAAAAATATCATTCCTTATAAAAGAATGCAACTACTACTTACTAGGTGGCTTTAGCACTGCCTTGAATTGTTATAGTCAGAATAGGTATCCAAGTTCCTCTATATTCAAATGCTGGTAGCAAAGTAATACCTCCACCAATTCCCAACATTCCTGAGTTTGCTGGTGCTGAGGCTGGGCCACTTGTGTTATTGTTTCCTATTAAATAAAGGGACAAAAGCAACGATACCGATTTACTGGAGGCATATTTCACTTCACTGCACTTCGCTTTATTGTGCTTCGCAGATACTGCATTCTTTACAAATAGAAGATTTATGGCAATCCTGCGTTGAGCAAGTCTATGGCACCATTTTTCCAACAGCATGTGCTCACTTTTCTCACGTCTTTGTGTCACATTTTGGCAATTCTCACAATATTTCAAACTTTTCCAATATTATTGTATCTGTTATGGTGATCTGTCATCAGCGATCTTTGATGTTACTATTGTAATTGTTTTGGGGCGCCATAAACCATGCCCATATAAGATGGCGAACTTGATCGATAAATGTGTATGTTCTGACTGCTCCACCAATCGGCTGTTCCCCCATCTCTCCTCTTCTCCTCAGCCATCCCTATTCCCTGAGACATGACAATATTGAAATTAAACCAATTAATAACCCTACAATGGCCTCTAAGTGTTCAAGTGAAAGGAAGAGACACATATCTCTCACTTTAAGTCAAAAGCTAGAAATGATTAAGCTTAATGAGGAAGGCGTGTCGAAAGCTGAGATACGCTGAAAGCTAAGCCTCTTGAGTTAAACAATTGGCCAAGTTGTGAACTCAAAGCAAAAGTTCTTGAAGGAAATTAAGTGTTACTCCAGTGAACATACAAATGATAAGAAAGCAAAACAGCCTTATTACTGAAACGGAGAAAGTTTTAGTGGTCTGGATAGAAGACCAAACCAGCCAGAACATTCCCTTACGCCAAAGCTTAATCCAGAGCAAGACCCTATTGTTGTTGTTAGGTACTGTTGAGTTGGTTCTGACTCACAGCGACCCTATGTACAACAGAAAAACACTGCCTGGTCCTGCGCCGGTGACTTTAAGTTAAAGCCAATGCTCATTTACCACTCCAAAAATCTTGGGGCCCTTAGGGATTGAGCTAAATCTACTCTACCTGTGCTCTATAAATGGAACAACAAAGCCTGGATTACAGCACATCTGTTTACAACACGGTTTACCAAATATTTTAAGCTCACTGCTGAGACCTACTGCTCAGAAAAAAAGATTCCTTTGAAATATTACTGCTCAGTGATGATGCACTTGGTCACCCAAGAGCTCTGATGGAGATATACAAGGAGATTAATGTTGTTTTCATGCCTGCTAAAACAACATCCATTCTGCAGCCCATGGATCAAGGATTAATTCTAAGTCTTATTCTTTAAGTATTATTACTATTTCATACGGCTATGGCTGCCATAGATAGTGATTCTCTGATGGATCTGGGCAAAGTAAATTGAAAAACTTCCGGAAAGGATTCGCCAATCTAGATGTCATTAAGAACATTTGTGATTCATGGGAGGAGGTCAAAAGATCGTTATTAATAGGAGTTTGGAAGAGGTTGATTTCAACTCTCATGGGTGACTTCGAGGGGTTCAAACTTCAGTGGAGGAAATAAGTATAGATGTGGTACAAACAGCCAGAATTACAAGTGGAGCCCGAAGATGTGACTGAATTGCTGCAATCTCGCGATCAAACTTTAACGGATGAGGAATTGCTTCTTCCGGATGAGCAAAAAAAGTGGTTTCTCTGAGATGCTATGAACATTGTGGAAATGACAACAAACGATTTAGAAAATTACTTAAACTTAGTTGATAAAGCAGCAGCAGAGTTTTTAGAGGATTAACTCTAGTTTTGAAAGAAGTTGTGCTGTAGGTAAAATGCTATCAAACAGCACTGCATGCTACAGAGAAATCTCTTGTGAAAGGAAGAGTCAATCGATGCAGCAAACTTCACTGTTGTCTTACTTTAAGAAATTGCCACAGCCATTCCAACTTTCAGCAACCACCACCCTCATCAGTCAGCAGCCATTAACACTGAGGCAAGATCCTCCCCAGCAAAAAGATTATCACTCGCTGAAGGTTAGCATTTTTATCAGCAGTATTTTTTAATTAAGGTATGTACATTTTTTTTAGACATAATGCTACTGCATACTTAATAGACTATGTTGTTGTTAGATGCCGCTGAGTCGGTTCTGACTCACAGCTAACCTATAGGCAGAGTAGAACTGCCCCGTAGGGTTTCCAAGGAGGGTTTCCACTATGCCACCAGGGCTCCTAATAGACAATAGTATAGTGTAAATATAACTTACATATACACTGGAAAACAAAAAAATTTATGTGCCTTGCTTTACTGAGATATTCACTTTATTGCAGTCATCTGGAACCGAACCCACAATATTGCCGAGGTTTGCCTGTACTTAATTATAAGTCAGTAACATTCAAACAGAGCCCTGGTGGCACAGTGGTCAAGAGCTCGGCTGCTAACTGAAAGGTCGGCAGTTCAAATCCACCTACCGCTCCTTGGATACCCTATGAGGCAGTTCTACTCTATCCTACAGGGTCGCTATGAGTTGGAATGGACTCAATGGCAATGGGTTTGGTTTTTGGTTAATATTCAAACATCTGGTCAATTTTTTTAAATTTCCTGTGCTATAGGAATTGGACATCACACAAATAGGTGAAATTTATCAATCCCTATTTTGGCTACTACAGAGTCTCCCTGTTTCCCCAAAACAACATTTGTTGTTTTTGTATAAAAGCTACTAATAATTAGAGTGATGAAAAACTTCTGGAAATACATAGTGGCAATGGTTGCACAACAAGATGAATGTAATTAATGTCAATGAAGTGTACACTTTAAAATGGCAAAGTTTTGTTATATATATTTTACCACAATAAAAAAATTTAAAACTACCAGTAAGTAAAAATACTGACAATTTTTATAATATACCTTTTGCTAAAACATTTTTATCAGACATAAGAATAAAAACTAAAAAGAATTGATAGTACCAAAGTGGAAGAGAAAGAAGGTAAGGGGAAGCAACAAGCAATATACTGATTTGCAAACAAACTTAAATCAAGTTCACCCTTTTCATTAACAGAGACTAACAGGGAGTCATCACTGATTTGGGGCCAGTGAGCTTCTGTTAAGGGTGATGAAAAAATCTGGAAATGAATAGTGGTGATGGTTGCATAACACAATGCATATAATTAATATCGCTAAATTGTCCATGTAAAAAATATTGAAATGGCACATGTTTTATTATATATATATTTACCACAATAAAAAGAGAGAGAGGACGGCTAACAGACCCCATAGGGTCTTTATAAAGAGGCATCAAATGGACATTCTTCTAAAATGAAGATTAGTATCTAAATTTGTGTTCTTATGTAATTAGAGAAACTAAAAGTATATCAGAGAAGAAAAAAGTATCCTGAAAAGAAATGAAGACAGCTGTCTGAGTGAGATCAAATTATTCTTCAAAGTGTAAGGTCTTTACTATCAGTATATTTCAGTAATCCAAACTTCTCTAGTCACAAGAGTTCTACAAAATAACCTCTCAGAATGGTGAATATAGTAAATTATGGCAGAATATAAAAAGCAAAATATGAATATGCCTTTACCAGCTTGGTTTGTTGTGGCAGATGGATTTCCAGTAGGAGGGACAAGAAACAACGACTGGATAAACGATCCCAGTGCATTTACAATATCACGAAAAACCTTGGTAGAATGTTGTTTCATATCATAGGATTGACAAAATGACCTGCAAAATAATTTAAAATGTTTCTGGAAAGACATTTGAATATATTTAAAATGTTAAACATTTTTTCATAGCAAATATGTTGATAAATCAGTTTCAGTTATACAATTAAAACTTTTTTATTACACCTGATTTTCTTAATTTACAACAAAGGCTTAGATTGAGGTTAAAGTTCTAAAAAAAATTATCTTGGCTATATTATCTCAGTAAACTCAGATGAATGGAAACCACTAAATCACACTCTGTGTCCACCTTGCAGTTCTTTTCTATTACCCACACCCTTGCCTCTCTGTATACATACAATATACAATTTTCTCTGTTTAGAAATCACTGATATGTGAGAATAAATACTTAAACTCTTCCTACTAGCATAAACATTAACCTATCCATTTAGCAAAATCCTGCTGAGGTTTTACCTTAATAGCTGAGGCTGCACACAGAGTCTGTGTATTGATTCCACTGCAACTGCTCGTAACCACTGTGGTTTATCTGCATCCAGAAACTTCACCAGAAGTGAAAGAAATATCTCACATTCAGTTACCTAAAAGGTATAAATTCTTTTGATAATACTTCTTTAAATCAAAGAGAATCATAAATTCCATTCCTGTTCTTAACTTAGTGTCATGGACAAACCAATTTTTAAACTATGTTTTAGATTTGAAATAAATCAAAAGTCCTAAGAGAGCGGAGAAAAGGAAAAAGGCAAGGTAAAAGTAGTTGCGTGTAGAAAAGTTAACAGTAAAAATAATCATAGTGTTTCTCTAAATACAACCCTGAAAACTCACATTAGTGAACTGCTATTGTTATTATTAGGTGCTGCCGGGTCAATTTGGACTCACAGAGACCCCTGTGACATAAAAGAACTGCTTCACAGGGTTTCCGAGGCTGTAATCTTTATGGAAGCAGATTGCCACATCTTTCTCCCAGAGCCACTGGATGAGTTCGAACAGCCAACCTTTCAGTTAGGAGCCAAGTGCTTAAGCATTGCGCCACCAGGGCTCCTTAGTGCTAACAAGGTTAATATCCTTGAGGAAACACTGTGCACCATCATGCCATCCATCCCCATTTCTGCAAATTGTGAGGTAGCACATGTCATGTAAACTGCTGATGGGGTTGTATGTTCTACTTTTCAGTAATACCACAGCCATTTTTCCATATTGTCTCCTGCTGCTTTAGAAACGAGGAGGCAATAAGCCAAAGGTCGCTTAGCATATATTTTCTAATGGGAAAATGAGAAGGAACCTGCAGTATTGTCAGGTATATAAAGTACTTAGAACAGGGCCTGTCCTGATACATAATTTCTCTCTAGTATTAGCTATCATTACTGTTGTTATTAATATAGACATCATCTTCTTAGCAAGCTCTTTGTAATTAATAATAGTGTTTAAAGTATGTTCTGAGTTTTCATTAAATGTATGATGACTGAGTGCACAAACAAAAAGCAACCAGTTTATTCAAAGATTAATGGATTGTTTCTATTACATACAAGTGGAGGATGCGGCAGGACCTCTGGGAGGTGAGAATTAAATGGACGCTGAGATTCCTAAGGACAAACTGATTCTAGATTATTGGATGTTTTAGCTGTAGGTGCCCCAGAATGAGAGAGCCATAACTTGGCGCAAGGGATGTGTGATATACAATGGCCCTGAGGATTTCAGCCCAAAGTCTTTGTGGTTGGTATTTTTAATGCCTTTAGAATCTTTAACTGGATGCTTAAAAACAGATTATAACCATGTGGATAAAGGAGGGAGGACTAAAAACAACTTTATCCTTAGACGACTTATGACTGGTGAAGTCATAAGGCAGAGGACTGTAACTGTCCTAAACATGATATAGGTGAAAAGCACTAAATCAGAAATCAGATGCCTCAGCTTCTTCATCCATCAACCTTGAGCATGACAACACGCTATGTAACCTCCTTATAAAGGATAAAAGTACCCTCACTTTTCTGAGAAACCAAATGAGAAAAATCTAAGAATGAAAAAACTTTCCCTAAACATAATAAAGTTCCATACAAATGCAAAGAGTATCAATTTTTTTTTTCTAAAGCAAATGAACCTTCATAAGTAAAGGTCTTTAGAGAAAGAACTAAAAAAGAAGAATCATGCCAGTGACTCCAAATAGCAACAGCTGTGTCTACTAAAGGGTCTTAATATTAGTAGGTCATTAAAAAAGTACATCTTCTTTAGAGTGAAAGCGGTAGAATTTAAGGCTCATCAGCTAGGTTTTGAGGCCAGATAATCAAGGCTCTCAAAAAACATCAAGTATACCACAGCCAAAGAAGTTAAAATGCTATAAAACCTGCCTTGAAACACATTATCATTTTCTCTCCTATGATACAATGGCTAAAATCAATTAATCACTTGATTTATACTGCAGTCACTGAAACTTTAAAATTGGAGTAAGAAAGAGAGCCTTTCTCCAGAGGTCAGGAATTTTGTGCTCCCTTTGTCCCTCCTTGTAAAATGTGAAAGCTTCATCAGAGAACTAGTGCTAAGGGCACTGAATTGTACTCAAACATTTAAATGGAGGGCCCCTATTGTAAGTCTGTTAATCTTTTCCCCCAAGAGGTTGTACTTAGAGGGAAACAGGTATTAAGATTAGTATCTATGATTATTCTACCATAAAAAGGAACAAAGTTATAATAAATACTACATGTGGATGAACCCTGAAAACATCATGCTATGTGAAATAAGTCAGACACAAAGGAACAAAATATTATGATCCCATTTACATGAAATATCTAGAACAAATACATAGAGACAGAAAGTAAATTAGTGGTTACCATGGGATGTGGGAAGGGTCAAATGGGGAATTATTGTTTAATGAAGAAAAACTTCTAGAAACAAACAGTGGTGACAGTTGCACAACATTGTAGTGTGATTACTGCTACAGGACTGTACACTTGAAAACAGTTAAAAGGGCAAATTATACGTTGCATATATTTTACCACAATTAAAAAAAATGGTAGCTTCTATGGCCTAAGTCCAATTCTTGTGGCATGGAGAAGTATTTAGTACTCCATGACCTCTATTATACAAGCATGACAGGTCATGAATGTTTCTGAATTCATGTAGTTTTTGGCATTAGATAACAGTCAAGAGACATCTGATGGCGTAAGACTAATCAAAGCCATCCTTGCATAATTTGTAATCACAATATCACGTAGTTGTCTCATAAAGAATCACATATATAACTGCTGGCTTTGGAGGCAATGGTAGAATATTCAAATGAGGAGTCTATCGGAGCTGGATAAGAATTAACAATCTTATGGCTAATGGACTTGTTAATGATAAAATCCTTTGTTAGAGACATGTCTGAGAAGAAGTAGCAAATTAGGCTGGCCAATCAATTTAGTCTTATTCATTCCTTTCTAAAAGCAGTAGGTCAATAGGCAGAAGAGAAACATGCCAGCCATTTACAACTAGTTTCATATTAAGGGCATTTTCTTAAAAACAGGTACATGAGTCAGAATTGACTCCACAGCAGTGGCTTTGGTTTTTGGGCAAGCATCCTGAGTGATTCAGAGGATAGAGAAGCACCGAGCTCAGATGATAGAAAGGGGAAAAGAATATATTTTAGTGACTGTATCTCTACCCGAATGAGTAGGACATTCTAAATTCCTCTAGTCACTAATTAACAGAATTAACTTTTGGAGATTAGTTATCTTCACCTCTGAGCTTCTTGACAGAATGAGACAAACTGGTGACTCATTATTATTTATTATTATACCGGGGAAAAGCACTGATCCTCTAGTGCAGTGATTCTCAAAGTGTGGTCCCTGGATCCCTGGGGATCCCCAAGACCCTTTTAGGGGGTCTGTGAGGTCAAAATTATTTTCATAATAATACTAAGATATTATTTGTCTTTTTCAATGTATTAACATTTACACTGATAGTATGAAAGCAAAGGTGGGTAAAACAGCTGATGCCTTAGCATGAATCAAGGCAGTGACACTAAACTTGGTACCATTGTATTTTTCACTCTACGCATAGTTTAAAAAAAAAAAAAAAAGATCAGTTTCACTTAAGAATCATGATAAAAAAAATAAGTACATATCTTTTTAATATGCTGTGTGTCAAAATGGGAAGTACACATAAAGCACTTCTGCTATGTATCAAAGTATCTTAGGCTAGGTTCTCTAGAGACGCAAAACCACTAAAGCATATATAGAGAGATTTATATCAAAGAAACAGCTCACGTGACTATAGAGGCTGGAACGTCCCAAGGATAGAGGCTTCTCCTGATTCACATAGCCGCAGGGGCTTGTGAACCCAAGATCAGCAAGTCAGAGAGCAGGGCTCCGCTCACAGGCTGTGAAGATGGATGAATCCCAAGATCGGCAGATAAGCTAATAGCTCAAGTCCCAAGAACCAGAGGTCAGATGAACAGGAGGCAGCCGCAGGATCCAGAGTGAGCAAAAAGCCAGAACGTCTGCTTGTATTTGGATGCAGGTCACACCCCCAAGGAAACTCCCTTTCAACTGACTGGCTACTCACAGCAGATCCCATCATGGGAGTGATCACGTATAAACACCAAGAACCATGGCCCAGCCAAGCTGACACACAATCTTAACCATCACAGTCCACCCCTTATCAACTTGGCACCTGTACACATCTCCTTAAACCATACATAATCTCTGAATAAAGACAATTATAAAGTCATACTTGCACCTAACATGATACAGCTAACGCGTAAAACTGAAAACGTACTAGCCCTGTTTACATCTTACAAGTGAAGGAAACAAAAATATTTGATGCACAGATACAAAGCAGAAATACTCATAACAATTACAGTCCTTGTTTCTGCAACTGGTCACATGGCCGTAACTGGTATTTAGAACTACCTTCTTCCATCATCCATTCCGTATTCCCGTTGCCCTCAGCAAGCACCTCGGCTGGTCATGATTCTTTGCCTGGTGGGATGACCCAAACCTTCATTCCTCAAGGGTCTGGGTCTTTAGTAGCCATGTTGAAATTGGGTTGCTTTAGTTTTCCACTGACTTTAATCACAGGGCATGACAGTACTAAGAGATGCCCTAAGGGATCTCCTGCATTCCAGACATACTCTTCTTTACCTCGATGATGTAACAGCAATCTGATTTCCGCCTGGTAATCAGGATCAATGACACCAGCCTGTATGGTAACTCCCTTCTTTGCCCGTTGATCCAGAGGCATAAGGAGTCCAAAGTGGCCAGGTGGCATTCTTAGCTTCCAGTTCAATGGAATCAGTGACGTGTCTCAAGATGCGAGCCTTCCTTTGGAACTAAGACCTCTAGACCCACAGAGCATAAGGTCGCAGGGACAGGAAGCCAAAATCTTGCAAGTGGATCAGTAGGGGATATAGTGGGTGGTACCACTACCATTTCCACCCCTTGATTCCTGGACCCATGAATCCTGGCTATGGGAGAAACAGGATTATATATTGAATGCTGGTTTTAAGCATATACAGCCTCCTGTAGAACAATGCCCCAACCCTGCAAGAGACTGTCACCTAGGTGACACCATAATTGTGTCTTTAGAAGGTCATCCCATCGTTCTA